GTCTAAACTCGACAAATCGTCAGTTGGTCAAGTGAGTTAACATTACACATAAACGTTAAAACATAGAATAAACAACAAAATTGACTGAATATGTCGTACGATCGAAAAAAGTCGTTTAGTTGGCTTGGAAATGATGATTATTGGCATTAATATTTTACATATGAAATAACAGCGACCTTCATTTCCAAGCCAACTCTGACGCCGTTCTTTGTTCAATCATATAATATTATATTAAATCGTTTAAGAGTCCATTTCACATAGTCCGAAAAAGTAGTAAAATAAGCGTTCGGCATTTAACGTTTTATGTAAAACTGGTTAGGTATTTTTACACAAATGAAGAAGGAAATTAAAGATAAAGGATTATACTATATCCGTATTATAGCACAATTTTTAGATTTCTTTATTTTTAAGATTTTGATGTTCAAACATCAACAAAACATTTCTTATGTTTGGACTAAATTTTCTCGAAAATAAAGCCATTATTTAAAATTCTGTTACAATATGGAAATAGGTTGAAGTTTTGTGATTACAGTGATATATAATTTATGTGGCTTTGTAACAAATTGCTCGCTATTTTATGGCAAATGCTAAAGCTCTGCAAACCTTGTTCAAATATTCACCTTGCTCAAACCTTGTTCAAATATGTTCAAATATTCCTCCATCGACTGCTAGACAATAATCCAGGCGATCATAAAATTCTCTTCTTACATTCGCTAGTTGGTAAAATGAAATTCTATTGCATTCGGCAGAAATAGCATTTTTTAACTTGTCTAGATTTGGGTATTTTTTATCCTTGTATATCCTGTTTTTTAAATGGCCCCAGAGAAAGAAATCATTTGGCGAAATATCAGGAGACCTTGCTGGCCAATTTACTGTATGATTTAGGCCAATAACGTTTCCGTTAAAACTATTGTCTAAATATTCCCTAACAGCCAGGGTACTATATGCCGGGCAGCCATCCATTTGTTACCAAACTTCCTGATTTTCCCTAGCGGCATCATGTAAAGCAGGTAAAATATGATTTTCGAGTAGTTCAAAATAATATTCTGCATTTAAATTTCACGTAAGAAATAATGGCCCGATAATATTGTGTCCGAATATCCCTGCCCAAACATTTACTTTCTGTGGATATTACGTCCTTGTTTCGACAAACCTGTGTTGGTTTTCTTTGTCCCAACTGGTACTGGTAATTTTGAACATTCGGTTCATTATTTAAGGTAAACGTGCATTCGTCAGTGAAACATATGTTTTTTAAAAATTCCCTATCCGTGTTTGCTCTTTCCATCATATCAAAACAAAACGCCTGCCGCCGTATTTCGTCCCCATCTCGTAGCTCTTGGTGCTTTTCATATTTGAAGGAATAGTATTTATGTCGTTTCAAAATTCGAAACTCTGTAGTGTGATCTATTCCTATTTCATCCTCAAGTTTCCTTGTGCTGATCTTTCCATCGTTCTCTTCCACGCACAATAAAACTTCCAAGTCGGTATCATTTCTTGTATCTTCTCCTTGTTCCTGCCTTGCTTCACATCTGCAGTTATTTATACCTTTGGTCTCAAATCTCTGGATATTCCTTGCGATTGTAGATTTTCCAGGTATCGGTCTATTCGGATACAGAGCAGCAAACATGTCCGACACCTTTTGATAACCATTTTTTTGATAATACCATTTAATCATCAATACTTTTTCTTCGGTAGCGTAATTCATGGCTAATATTTTCGATGTAGGTATGAGTTTTTAATAATAATAATAAAGCACTAAATAGGTAAATTTCTGAAATGACAACTTCATTTGACAGTTATCTTTTACCTTGACTGGTGCTCATAAGTAAATACAGGGCCATAAGAAAGGAGAAATATTTAAAAAGAAATCGGCGATAACTCGTAAACGGGCTAATCAAAAATATCTAAAGTTATTCTTTTGAATGTGGGTTTTAGTACTCTTCAATAAACGTAAATAGAATTATTCTCTAAAATAATTAGGGAAGTCAATAATTGACCCCATTAAAATTTACATGGGATTTCCTATGTCCCGCTCGACGATGCAACACCCGGTATGTTTAAACAAAAAAAAAATTGTATCGAAATTTCTTTTGTTTATAATTTAATTTTGGATTTATAATATAAATAGTAAACTTGTGCATCTTCTTTTTTCTTTAATCAACGGTATGAGCGACGTTTTTTCTTATTTAAAATTACTACTAAAAATGGTTTCTTTTTAATTAAAAAAAGGAAAATGCAACAATCGTCTGTCTAGATAGTTCACCTAAATCAAAATAAAAATAGGATCCTATATGTTTAAACAAAAAAAATTGTTTCGACTTAAAATTTCTTTTGTTTATAATTTAATTTTGGATTTATAATATAAATAGTAAACAATTAAATTTAGAACGTCTATAAATATATTTATTCTGATGTATTTTCAAGTTCACCTGTGTTTTGGTGTCGGCATGAATGAAATTGTTTTCTAGTATTTATGTTTTGAGTAGTAGATTAAGTGGGGAACGCATGTCGTTTTTAAATCAACAAAAATAAAATGAAAACGGCAGCGTACCAGTTCTCGTCAGTGTACTTATTACATTTTTCGTTATCGGTGAATAATTGGTGGATACATGCAAAAGAAAATATTGAATATATTTTAAGATAGGTATGTTTATCTTTAAAGTACTTGGAATTATTTAATAAATAATGTTTGATTATAATTATTGTTGACTTACAATTAAGATAAATATTAAAGTTTTCGAAATATTTATTTACGTTTTTGTCAAAATACAGTAACAGTTTTAATGCTTCAATTCTCTAGGCGCATTTAAATTTTTAAAACCAAACATTGTACTGAAGTTTTTCTATTTACCAAATTTTGTGTTGTAACAATAAAAACAATACTACCTTATACAAAGTGTCTAATAAATTGTTTTAAATAATTACAGAACAAGAACAATGACGATTGAACTTGTTTCCATGGCTAAATAAGTGAAACTGTTTAAACATTATAAGAATTGGCTATAACTCGGTAATTTTTCGAAAGAAACATATTATAGCTTATATCGCTAAAAAGCTTAAAAAATGGCGCTTTTTATGAAGTCATGGCCAACTATGGTTTCCATTTAAAAAATATATGTTGGTGTCATATCTCAAAAATGACAGGCTTTAGAAAAAAACGGCGGACACGATCTCGTTAAGGATGTGATTATCTACAACTTTTATCTGAAAACTTTTTGTCTAAAATAGATTATAATGGAATTAGGGACAATTTTTAAAATAGCCAAAATTTGTTTTTTTCAAAATATCTAGTAAGCCATGAACTTTTTCAAAAATCTGAAAGGCGCATGTTTATGACCCCACAAAACTGCAATTATTTCCCTATTTAACCGACTCTCTTTCTCCAGTAGTTTCCGAGATACCCATAGAGAACATCGTACGAAACTCACCCTGTATTTATTATATCATTTTTAACGATTTTTACATTTTATTTTTAATTTAATAATTGATATTTTAGTAATTAATTTATTTATTAACAGTAGTCACTAACATTCACAGTAGAAATATTTAAATTTAAGGCAGCAGCTACTCGCTTCAAATCGAAATAATTAGAAATAACTTTGAAAGTGGTATAATGTTACCAATCAAACTTACTTCTCTGACTGCAGTCAAGATAATAAAGAACATTTATTGTCACGTTCTCATTTATAATAGTTTATCAGGAAAGCTACAAGCTCTTTGCTTCGCCTGTTTAAATGCTTCAGCGTATTTTCAACACACAATTTCAAGAAATACAATACAAAAACTCGAAAATTTAGTTCTTAAAAGACAAAACGTTAAAGTACAATTTTCTTCTCAGTATTTTAAATTATACAACAAATTTAAATATTTTTGCCAAAATTTCATTTAGTCAGGTTTATAGGCTTTAGGGTCAATTTCGATATGATTGATGACGTGCATCGGAAAATATATTGCGATTACCGTAGGGTTATAACAAACGAATATTTTTATTTTGAAATAGAGGTGTGTAGTTCGTGAACGAACTAGTTCCAATGAACTATTCCGATCCCGGAATGACAGGAACTAGTTCCTGGATTCTCAAAGAACTAGTTCAGGACATATTCCGGGATCGAGACTGTGACCGATATAATATAATATGCGACGGATCGGTCAGCGCGCGTAGCCCGTGGTTAGGCAGGAGTGGGGAGTGCCAGCCGTATGCTATCGGACCCGGACCTAGAGGAACTAAATAAAACACTAGTTACTAGTTTACGTAACGATCGGCCAGCGCGATCGATGCTAGGCAGGAGTGGGGAGTGCCAGCCGTATGTTATCGGATAGGGACATAGAGGAACTAGTTGAAAGACTAGTCCACGGGAATCTATTTAGTCGGCAGATCCGAGATATAATACAAGGCAACGACGATGGATTCGGCCTTGTCTATTGCCACAGCCGGCGTAATTACTACTGTAAATTGTCGTGGTTACTGTTTTTGATTTTTAGTTTGTTCTTTAAATATTTTATGGGAATATTTCACTTTAAAAGAAATATCTTATAAAACTAAGTAGATATTCTGAATTTTTAGACAAAAACAAAAAGCTTGAAGTGAGGAAAAATGCAATTTTTCGTAATATTTGTTCCAATTGATTTGTGATATAGTTTTTTAAACTCTGATTTGAGTTTGCTTTTAATTTTTTTTATCTGCAATAAAACTTACCTATATGTTTTTAACATACACAATTACACGTCTCGTTATATTTCGTACATTATAAAAATTATACAGATCATACTGTGAAAAGTTCTGACTGACAACGAAACCCATTAGCAACCAACGGGGATGTCAATGTTAGTCTGGAGCTATTGTGAACTAAAGATCTAGTTCAAGGAACTATTCCTCTGGAGGAACTAGAACTAAGGAACTAGTTCCTCCCAAAGAACTAGAATTCCCACCTCTGTTTTGAAATGTTTCGTTTTATTGACATTTGTGGAATAATGTGGTAGTAACAAAGTTTTTATTGTAGGTTTAGGCCCAGGCGTGATAATATTTCACGAGCCTAAACACACAAACACCTTAGATGATCTGCACGATAGAGCGAGTGTGACGCAATCCGCTGAAGATATCCTAAGGGCTACCTTCGCCGATTTGGACTTAAACTGCGACTCGTTCAGTTTTCTTAAGTATATCGGTGTAAAGAAGCCGGCAAATGGGCGTACACCTTTCGACCGCCTAAAATTTGCCTTGAACAAAGAATTGGAAAGCACTGAAGTGAGGTCACCCAGAGATGCTAAATATATTTATTTAATGCTAAAGGTAAGTGTTGGATTAAAGGTATTTAATTTTTAGTTTATTTTGTGCTAAAATAATAGGTACAACAATACTTATTATACTGTTCTATGAATTAATTTGAAATATTTTTAATTAATTAATTATTTTCATAGCGGTTTTAAGAAATTAACATATTGTTAATTATTTTCTTTCAAGAGTGCTTTTCATTTCATTTAATTAAATACATAAATAATTTGTCTATCTACTGTACTATATAGGGTGAGTCTTAAATATGTGTAAATATTTTTAGGGGTAGTATATTTCGACCCCAGAAACAGTTCTACGAAAACATTTTGAAAATTTTGAATTTTTTGAATATATTTTTTAATTGTAAATTAGAAAACAGAATATCCTCATAATATGCCAATATAAGTAGTAGATTAAATTTACAAGAAAGAAAACCCAGAAAAGATACAGGGGTTCTACATTAATTGTAGAACCCCTGTATCTTTTGAACCCCTGAAGAATTTTTGGTTAAATTATTTAACCAAAAAATCATTTTTTCCTAAATTTTCAAAGTAAAAGAACTCGGTTATTTTGGAGTTATTTGAAAAGCGGTAAAGAGAAAATATGTTTCTTTTATCGAGATTTACCAGCCCTAAAAATATTTGCACTTATTTAAGACTCACCCTGTATATTTGTGTTTGATTTCTCAATAATACATATGTTAAAATTTTTGTCATTTGTTGATAGTATAATAGTTTGTAGTAGTATAGGTACGACAGTTTTAATGATACACGCCATTTATTGAAAGTGCGAAAGTCACAACTTGTCTTATATTTTCACAAAAATACAATTTTCTCGTTTAATGTGGATTTTAGGTATAGGCAGTGCTTAAACAAAACCACGAATTATTCTTGTTTGATTATGATAAAAAATATATTAATATATTATTAATGTATTCCATTTAAAACAGTGGAGAAAAATACAACGTTTAGTTTTGACTCGCCCTGTGTATATTAAACAAGATTGCAAATTAAAAAGCTAGAAAGTAAATTTTCATGCATATTTTCATCGATAGGTTTGTAGCTTCTGAATAACGGTCTAGGTAAACTTAAAATTAGAATTTAGAGTTAGTAACTCGCATTTTCATTGGAGGACACGTCATATTTATTTCAAACCAATAGTCAACGAGAATATTCGTATAATTTATTAAAATTACATTAGTAAATCACTATAAATAATGAATTTTTGTAATTGAACTGTAATTTCTATATTATTAATCCGGTAAATGATGGAGATAAACAATTGTGATTGATTAAAATTTTATTTTAAGATGAAAATTTTGTTAACAATATTCTGAGAATTTGAATAACGAATTGAATAATGACAAGACAAGTGACATCTGTCTAAAAAAGACAGCCATTTAGAGCGACAATTTGGTTATGTAAAATTTAGAGTGACAATTTTGATTATGAAAAAGAAATACATATTCCATAGAATATGTACAGGAAACTCATAAGTTTGCCTAACGATTAACATTAATTTAAAAGTAAATCCCCAACCTGAATAATGAACAAAACATTTAAACAAAAACAGACCACAGACTACAGACCACACACAATAAATTGTTGGTTAGTAGCAGCACATATTATACAGATTATAATCTTTGTTTTTTCTTTATTGTTTTTCGTGGTTCCAATTTTCGGAATCGGGCACTAGTTAGATGACTAGTTTGCGCACATAGCACGCCCACGTATGGCCTCTAAAATTGTGCACAGCGCCTGACGGGCACAGTTATTAGAGAGATATCGGAAAACCGAATAGCGTCATCCAGTATTTACGCGTACCTTATCATGGTTACGATATCAATTTTTAACGCAACACTCGCTTATAACGTTACCGCCTGACGTAATTTGCGGATGATCGCGTTCATCAGGACGTAGCGCTACCGCAGCGATCACTAATTTTCTGCTGAACGCGCCGATTAGTTGTGAGCGCTCTGAGATCAGTCGCCATTTTTTCCATCAGATTTAAAATATGCTACGCTACCGATGCATGATGGATTAAACGTCACATACACCAAATGTCATAAAATGTTTTGGAAAACGAAAACAAAGCATTTTGTTTATTGTTCTCGGTTGACTAATCCCCTCGATTTGTGCCAAAAAAGGGTGAAAACAATTTAATATGCATTACTTATGATTTTGATTTAAAAAGCACGTTCAGCAGGACAACCAATCGATGGTACATCGCTCACTGATCAACTTGTCCTGATGAACGCGACCGATCAATTACACCAAGCGCTCTTTCTAAATAACCTCTGATAACGTTTAAAAATTGCTTAAATGGGCATGTGCGGGTATTTGACAACCGGAGCCGGCCGGCGTGATCTTTTATTTTAGGTTATGTTTGAATTGTTTTGAATTATTGCTTTAGTTTTATTAGGTAATTGGATATTTAAGTAGCTGGGATTAGTTTTAATTAAATAAATATGGCCCAAAATATGGACTCCACCTCTTCCAATACAAAGAACCAATAAAGAGTCTTAGGTTTACAGCAGATGACGACTTAGCCCTTCTAAGAGAATTTGTTGCTTGTTGCCCTAACCCCAGTGGCAGACGTTGAACAATAAAGCACTGGAAATAAGCACTTTAGCCCTTTAGTTTTAAAATACCTAGTAAACAAAACAATTTCAAAGTTTTAAATTCAAAGTTAGGTTAAGTTTAAATAGCGGACGCGACGCGATCAGAATTCTTTCCGATCCGATAACTATAAATGAAGAGAGTTAATACCACCTCACGTAAAGGAAATAACACCTGGCCTTATAAACGTCCATGCACGCTATTCAGTTTAGCGATATCTCTCTATTACGCTGTTTATTGTTATTTTACGCGAGTTTATTTTTGCGCACAGGAAATTTGACTCGTTTGCACATCGTCATAAAAAACAATTTTCGTACCATGAATTAAGGACAAGATTTTTATCTGTATACTTATAGGATACCTAATCTGTGGTAGTATTTTGCTTTAATGGCCACACAGAAGTTTATAAAAAGCATTCACAAAGAATATATATCCTTCAAATTCTTCAATTTAATAGCTGTTAACAAGAAGTCTCACTTCAAATATGCGCACGTAGTGCACACACAATTTTTCTTTTATAAGGAAGTGGGTATCATGATCCTCATAATTATGAAAAACATTTTTGAAGTAATTTTATGTAGCGTTATTTAAAAAAGAATTAAATTATTACTATTATTTAAATTAATTAGATAAAAATAATTTGTGGTTGTGCTTTGAATTATATTGTATTAAGAATATTTTTAACGTGTTCATAATTATTGTTTTTTTTTTCTATATATTATAGAGTATTAATGAAAAATATCTGTTACCTATACACGATACAAGTCCGCATTTATACCTATCCCAGTTTTTCACGTGTCCTGAAAAATGCCAGTCTTGTCATAGCGCTTGCACACTTTCCATGGGCCACCAAGACGATGGGGAAGCCCATGCCACAAATCAACCGTGTAAATTTCAACATCAATATCAAAATTGTGTTTACTTATGTAAGGTAAGTCATAAAAGTGGAGTGTCTTAAATTATTTGGTTTTTTTAAATCTAGATTATTTATTTGGTATGTGTGTGATAAAAGAAGTGTACAGGGTGGGTCAAATTTGACGCTTTTAAATGGAAACACCCTTTTCTATAGGAGATAGACAAAAACTAATATCGGTGTCTGGAGCTCAATTTTTGTCAAAAACATGATGGTGAAAACTGCATATCGATATCTGTTACTGTTTCGGAGTTACGGGGTGTTTTTCAAAAATATGCATTTTTAACAAATCGCTGTAACTTTTTTGCTATGGAAAATTTTGTATTTTTATGAAAACATTTCCAAAGCACCTTTTTACATAGAATTTAATGGTTTAAGTAGATTTTTTAAAATTAAGAATTTAAGAATTATCAACAGAAAATTTGATTTTTTATATGGGACACCATATATATTATTGGGACACCATATACGTATATTTTGAATTTATTGAAAATAATTTAAAATTACCTTTCCAAAAATATAACACACTTGATATTTTGCTCGATTCCTCTTCGAGAGATATAGAGTATATAAAAATTCGCCCGCTTGAAATATGTAAGTATAGGCTTTGAACGGCACCGGCGGTAATGCAAAAAAATATGTGAGCATCAATTAAAACGAAAATAACATTTGCTATGAGAGATGCAGAATTTTATAACAATTTAAAGTATATTTAACCAACATTAACACATTTAAACTATATCTAATAACAATAAAAATAAATAGCAAACCAAGACATGATATTTTGCTACAGGTGTTCTACATATCCACCGTCTTCTGTTATGGACAGACGGTTCAGTTTTTGAACATTTCTCGCGGAATCATTAACTCAGTGGGGGTGAAAGATACCCTCTCATAACTGCTAAGTATTTCTAATTCTTGTCTAGATACGGAAGAATAAGGAACCTTTATTCTTCCGCAAATATATCCATAGGATTAGATCCATGGGCACTAAGTCAGGCGGCCTCAACGGCCAACGGCTGGGATCTTGGTTAGCTATTTAATTATTCTTGAAATTGGCTGCAAAAATTTGCTGATGACTTCAGCGTTCAGAGGCGGTGCGTTGTCTTGCTGGAAAAATATATTTTCGAGTTCCATTAAAGGCATATCATCAATAAAGGGTCCAAAGCCTACTAGTTAAAAGTGGCAAACTTTTAAAAATCCTGTATTTCGACGGGAATTATAACAAAATATCAAGTGTGGTATATTTTTGGAAAGGTAATTTTAAATTCTTTTCAGTTAATTGAAAATATAGAGGGTGTCCCAAATAAAAAATCAATTTTTCTGTTGATAACTCTTAAATTATTAATTTTAAAAAAATTGTACTTAAACCATTAAATTCTACGTAAAAAGGTGCTTTGGAAATGTTTTTATAGAAATACAAAATTTTCCATAGCAAAAAAGTTACAGCGATTTGTTAAAAATGCACATTTTTGAAAAACACCCCGTAACTCCGAAACGGTAATAGATATTGACGTGAGGTTTTCACCATCATGTTTTTGATGAAAATTGAGCTCCAGACACCGATATTAGTTTTCGTCTATCTCCTATAGAAAAGGGTGTTTCCATTTAAAAGCGTCGAATTTGACCCACCCTGTACAGTTTCGGTTATTTTTTATGAATCTTTATACATTTCGACTTAAGTTATCGTTTATTTCTTTATTCTTTTTTATTTCTTTAAGTTAAAGGATGATGTTCCTTTATAAACATTGAGTAAAAATACTAAGGAATGAGTCTAATACTATTATTATATTAATGAATTAGGGACGGAAGCGACGTCAATTATTTTTTTTTGTCAGTTTGGTTGCGTTTCACGTGACATTGACTTGAATTTCAGCGGGTTTGTTGCTCTTTTCTTTTTTAGATTATTTTATGCCATTTCTTTTTTATTTTCTAATTAGTTTTAATTAAAAAACAGTCAGGACTTGAATTAAAGTGAAATTTTTGGAAAAGAAAGGAGCTGGAATAATAGTTGCTTGTGCAGTGTGCGATCGTTTCCAAACAAAAAAATATGAAAATTAATGAAAGAAAAGAAAATTTTTTATGAATAATGCATTTTTCTCAAAATTATAATAATAAAAAAGTTTTTCCTCTTATAAAGACAATCCGGGGATATACTGTAGAGAATCTAAAAGATATGAGCGTCAGAAGCAAAGTAAGAATTTATAAAGCTTGCGTGAGACTGGTTTTGTCATTTGTTATGTGCTAACTTTTTGATATGATTATTCCTTAGCGTTTTTATTCAGTGGTTAATTAAGTTTTTATTTAATGGTTAGTTTGATATTAAAATTCCGAATACAGTAAATAACTAAACTCGACAGAAATACAGGGTGAGTCTTAAATAAGTGCAAATATATATATTGTTCAAATAAGTTCAAAATAATCGAGTTATTTTACTTTGAAAATTTTCAAGAATTATATTTTTTGTTTAAATTTTGGGAATCAATGGATCTTTTCTGGATTTTCTTTTTTGTAAATTTAATCTACCTATGTTGCCATATTTTCAAGAAATTATGTTTTTTAACTAAAATTTTTTTTGGAAAAACTCCAAATTTAAAAAAAAATCGCAAAAAAATAGTCGTGTTTCTGGGGTCGAAATGTACTACCTCTAAAAATATTTGCACTTATTTAAGACTCACCCTGTATAGATACAATACAGGGTGCTACAAATTCGAGGTACGAGCATTGGTATCTCGGAAACCGTAATAGATACGAAGATGGTTAAATTGGGGCAAAGTTGCGCCTTGAGATGTTCACCAAGATGCTATCAAAATTTTTTTTTAAATTTCAAGGATAGTTGAGTTTTTTGAAAAAAACGATTTTTTTGGAAAATCAATTTTATTTTTTCCCGTCGTTACTTTTTAGAAAATCAAAAAACTAATTGCATGTTCTCATAACCACTTTATTAGGGCTATCTGATAGTATTTTTAGATTTTCAAATTAGCTGATAATTTGTGAGATACAAGGGCCGACTTAATTTTTTTAAATACGGACCTGCATTTTTTGTTTCAGTTTTTGAAAGAACTCGGTCTCCTGAGTATACCGATATGCCACACTTTATACTTTTTTTTTGTTTTGGGTACCTTAACAACAACAAAACTATTTAATTATTATTTAAAATATTTTCAAGTCCGACCCTGGTTTCCTAAAATAGTTAATCTGATTATATTCATTGCAATAATATTGATCAGCGCTAATTAACATTGAATTAGGAAAATCGAGCCAATTGAAAGATTCAAATAAATAATATCCAGCTCAGCAATTTAAAGATATTATTTTTAACTTTTTTATTGTGAATTTGAAATTCTCAGTGTACGATCTAACAATATGCATAATATTAATCGTAGTTATTATAAATAAATCACCTTCTACAAACTAGTTTCTAATGCTCTACATGTTTGAAAGGGTTACCACCTTACCTATTGCACAAAATTACTATTCTTTCAATTTTATTTATAGCTCTTTGAACGTATCTTCTTCTTATACTTCCGAATGAATTTTGTACTCTTTATTGTAAATGTTGAAAAATATTGATTTCACTTTTACAAATGACGTCAAGTAATGCAATTATTTTTTATTGAATTTGATTTTTCGTATTCAATGTTTTACCCCACGTCATAGTTAAATTTGATGGCTTATCAGTATTGTAACGATGAATAATTTAAATATTTAAAAAACAGAGCCAGACTTGAAATTAGTTTAAATAAATTTTGTGTTTAAAAATCTGAAATAAAAAATGCAGGTCCGTATTTAAAAAAATTAAGTCGGTCTCTGTATCTCATAAATTATCAGCTAATTTGAAAATCTAAAAATACTATCAGATAGCCATAATAAAGTGGCTATGAGAATGTGCAATTAGTTTTTTGATTTTCTAAAAACTAACGACAGGAAAAAATAAAATTGATTTTCAAAAAAATCCATTTTTTCCAAAAAACTCAGCAATCCTTGAAATTTTTAAAACTTTTTTGAAGGCATTTTGGTGAACATCCCAAGACGCAACTTTGCCCCAATTTAACCATCTCCGTATCTATTACGGTTACCGAGATACCAATGCTCGTACCTCGAATTTGTAGCACCCTGTATAGAGCCTTTTATTTTTGTTTGTGTAGAAATGCCACAAAAATGGGAATAAAGTTGTTGTAAAGCCCAGCTATCAAACGACGCATGAGAATTCGTGGACATCATATTTCAATTACGTTTGGGCCGGTTATGTCATAGAATGTCCTAAATGCGGGGAGATATATAGAAGCAGGTATATAAATTATGATTATTTAAAGTATAGACATTATTTATATAAATTATTATCACAGCTTAACTTTTGTATAGACGAGGTCATCCTGAATTTGTGAGACTAAAACTCTTACTATATTGTAAAGCTTAGTTTTCATGTATCCGAATTTCGAACGTTTTCTGTGAAAAACAATATGGCGATATGAAATTCATAAAAAGTTGTAAAAATACGAATGGGCTCTTTCACAAAAAATAAAATACCCAATTCAAGGGCAAAATCTGAAATAGTAGACTATTTTCAGTATATTTATCCAAAAAAAATAGTTCCATGACATTGAATAATTTTTTTATAGGCCCTCATTAATTTGAAATAATTTTAAAGTGCCAATTGATGACGTATGAAAAATACGCCCAATCACATTGCAGAACCGTGCTCGTGCGCCAGCCAACAACTGGCAACATTGCTATTTGATTTGACCAGCACCACCTCAACTCAAGGCCAATCAACATGATATGGGCAAGGCAATTATGGCGGCGAAGGCAGCGCATTATTAAATTGTTTACCTTTAACCTGAAAAGCCGGTAGTGGTTTCTCGTTCCGATTGCATACCAGAAATAATTATTATCTCTAGTTTGTTGTAATTCTGCAACACGTTCGTTTAGTTCTTAGTGTTCAGTGCATGGTGTGATCAGAAAATTGTGTTAAAATAACAGTGTAATAAAAATCCAAACCAGACATTCCACATAGGGAACTTCAAACTTTTGTGCTTGTCGTACTCCTCTATTATTAATTATTTTAAAGTAAGAACTAGAAGTATTTATCAAGATATTACACCTAAATGAGTAAAAAGCCTTCGCCGCCAGTCTGCATAGTACTTTATAATGGTTACTTAACAATAATCAAAAGAGAGGTATTAAAGGGTATGTATAAACGAAATAAACTTTTTTGGTTTTAAAAAAATTTGGTTTGCTCAGTGCCGATTAATACTGAAAAGCAACTACGGCAACGCATTATTGATTGTTCCAATCAAATTTGGACAATACCAAGGATATTCCCCAGGGTATCTACGCAGATCGTGGAGAAGAAGATCAGATCAGTCTACATTGAAATGAATGGTGGTCACTTTGTACATTTACTATGAATGAATTAAGGAATGCATTATTTTAATAAGGAATTTTAGTAATTGGATTATTTCGTTTTTTAAAGCAATAAGATGTTTTAAAAATCATGAAATTTTGATTTTTCAATTAATTATTTGATAACTACTTGGTTACTTTTGAACCGTCATAACTTTCATAAGTTTATGTTGATTAACCAGTTAGCAACACATCAGAGCAAACTTTGTCTTCAATTTTCTCGAAAACCATCGCTCTGGGCGATATGCAACAAGAGTATCTTTTTTGTAGGAAAAAGTATGTAGTTTTCAAAAAATGAACCCACGTTGCAAAAAAATAACATCAAAAAAGTTATTCACGAAAAAAAACCTATCCTTGCAAAAACTACCCTTTCCGCTTTTCCAAATAATTTTTCAGTATCAGCATTTGATTTAGGGTCAAAATTTATGGCATAGGATTTTTTTTCTAAATTTTATCTCATTTTTTAAGCCTACAATTTTAAAACAAGCGTTTTTTAAATTCACCCTTTCAGTGCCCCTAACGCCCTTAATATGCATTTTCCGCCCTATACTTATAGGCATTTTTTTACTATTTTTTTTTGAGTACTATCACCCCCCGATTTTTTTTACACCATTTCAATGACACCCTGTATACTTAAAGAAACCAATATTCTAAATACGTTTTATTTATTTCTTTAGACAGCATTGGTATGGCAATAAAAATCCGGAAGATGACGCTGTTAGATTAGAAATAGTGCATCTTTGGCCAGGGGTAAGTTGTCTTATATTTTTGAGGCTTGTTGGAACACTAAAACTTAAGGTGTTTGCAAACTTCTTCATTAATCATATACATTATACAGTCTTCTAAAGTATGTCCAATCATTCAGGGAAGATATCTAATAACGAAGTTAAACGACATCCAAAAAATGACAGAAAATAAGATTTACTTGTGCATTAAAGTGACCACTAAAATGACATACACAACCGTCACTGTTCGGTATCCTCTCGTTGGACAGACCGTCATTTATTAATGTACCACCCTGTACACCATAAATAAACATTTTCTTCTAAAAAATTAACTATTTTAAAATCGACCTCACCAAATAGTGTATTGTTTTATTAGGAGTAAAAATGACACTTTTTGTTGCGTTGCCGTACGTTTCATACAGTCGAGGCAACATTTTGACTGGTATCCTTCCCCTATTCATAAATATACGTAAAAATTAGGTTTTTGATTAAAAATATGATGAACGTGATAGTTCTGCAGCCGGATTCTGTACTATTATGTTTTTAACAAAACTTTGATATACTTAGGTTAGTTTTTTAAAATAAACTATCAAATATATTGGACAAGACTCTCAAATATATTGCAAACACCTATCGTGCTATAACAGCTTTAGGTTAACAAAATTTACAAATATTAATGAAATTTAACGGTTGTGTGTAGAAAATAACTTTTTGATAATCGTTTATACTATTAAATTCTAATAAAAATAAATTTTGAAAAGAATATTTTACAGAATTGCTTCACACACTTTTCATTTCATCCATTCTCTGTAAACACCTAGCTTTTTTGACGCTTTATTGCAGTGTTTTTTTACTGTATGTTGGAAGATTTATTGATTATTAATCTTTAAAGTGTTCTTATGGGCCTCTCTGCATTCACCTTTTTTAATGGACTGATTTTCTACGTTTTTCAAATAGAATAAATCGTATTTTCAGGAGCGCATCCAATTTGGTGCTTACAATTTCGCCCAAAAAGTTGTAGATCAAATTACGGTCATATCTAATGTGGTTTCCAGTGTTGGATCGGAACCGGTTAAGAATATTAGGGATTGGACAAACGACAAATTCATAGCGCCGAGTTATTGGAGACCAAACCACGAAATTAAGGTAGGTTGCCAAATTTGAATAAAATGTCGAATATTGAGTAAAAATACAATAAAATTAAGGCGATTGCGATGGTATAGTCTATAAAATGAATAACTTTGAATTTTGACCGTTATTTCTTACCAACACGGCAAATAAAAAATCCCTCTGTCAAAAAAGTTACTGATATTCTTTAAATTGAGTGCCTGAACGAATCAGATAGGTAACTTTTTTTACTTTCGTGAAATAGAAAAGGAAAATAATAAAACAAGTGACAGTTCTTCCTCTTCTTCCAAAAATCAACATGAAATGTCATAATTGTCAAAGATAAAATGTCATCAGCTTTTGACATTTCTAAATATCAGATCAACGCCGTCTCTAATAGAACAGCCTCGGAGTGAGATTTATAACGTCACACTAGTTAGATACTACAGATTAATAAATATGTTGTAGAATACATGGAAAACATAACTATTCCTCGTATTTTTGGTTTGTATTTTAAAATCAAAGTTTGTTTTTCAAATACAAACCAAAAATACGAGGAATAATTATGTTTTCCATGTATTCTACAACGTATTTATTAATCCGTAGTATCTAACTAGCGTGACGTAATAAATCTCGCTCAGCGGCTGTTTTATTAGAGACGGCATTGCGTCAGCATGGCCGCAAGTTGCTAACTTAATAAAATAAACACCAAAAAAGCCCGCGGGAACTGTCAAATTCAAAGTTATTAATTTCACAGACTATATATGGATGACTTAAATTCCGGTTTATCAGTAGCGTTCTATTAAAAAATAAAATGCTTGGTAAAAATCTTATGTATACTTAATAATTTTCTTCTTTAAAACCTTGCCTATATACAGAGTTGTTCACCACATACGACACGAAGTATTGTAGCTAAACGATTAGATTTTTACAAAAAGTTTTGGGTTCGTGGAAGGACTATTAGAGGTACAATTTAAAAATAATTTTACAAGATACAGAGTGTCCCAAATAAAAAATATCAAAGTTGTATTTTTTTAAATGGAACACCCTGTATATTATTACATTTTTAGATTCTGCTATTAAAATAAAGGTAAATTTGATTAAGGTTTATCACACACTTCAACCTTACCTTACCTTATATAGTAAAAGTTTTAAGGCTTTATTTCTCCGAGGGCATCAAAGTTTTTAATACTAAATATTTACTGAAGTTTATTTATTGATCAGTTATTGTGTTGCAATAATAAAAATAATACTACCTCATGTCTAAAAATTTATTTTAAATAATTTATAATTTTAAACGGCAATAACTTGTTTAATTTAAATGGGATACCCTGTATATTTTAGGAGAATCAGATGCACAGTTTAAATGTCTATCGAATTGTATTATACCATCTTTTACCTATCCCTTCAAGTTTTTGTAGAAAATGCATTTTCTTATAATTTAGACCTTATTTATCAATATACCCATGGAATATTGACATTTTAGATTGTTTTTAAATCAACAAATGTACAGAATGTACAGGTGCTAAAAACGATATTACTAGCTCATTTGTATTTACAAAGAAAACTACCGTATACTATTTCATTTCATAGCCATCGCTGACGCCGTTTTTATTCGATTATACGGTATTTTAATCTTATAAAAAAGTATACCATTAATTAAATATACCACCATTATTTCCGCCCAAATATTAATTACATACTTATTTGTGTTTGGTCTACTTAAAATATAAGACTACTACTAAATTATAAGAAATAATGAGGTCTAAATTAATATGAGGTCTAAATTATAAGAAAATTAATTTTCTAAGAAAATTTAAGAGATAGGTAAAAAATGGTATAATTCAATTTGATAGACAATTAAATTGTGCATCCGATTCTCATAAAATATATAGGGTGTTCCATTTAAATTAAACAAGTAATTGCCGTTTAAAGCTAGTCATTATTTAAAATAAATTATTAGACACTCTGTATAAGGTAGTATAATTTTTATTATTGCAACACAAAAGCTAGTAAATAGGAATACTTCCCACAATATTTAGTTTTAAAAACTTAAATACGTCTAGAGAAATGAAGCATTAAAATTATTACTGCATTTTGACAAAAACCTAAATATTTCAAAATTGGTAAGACTGAAATGCGGTAAACCTTAATCAAATTTACCTTTATTTTAATGAAAAAAATACAACTTTGATATTTTAAATTGTAGCTCTAATAGTCCTTCAACGAACCCAAACTTACAATTTGCAAAAATCTAATCGTTTTGCTACAATTAGTGATGGAAATACCGGTTCCACATGAGTCGCGTTACAATAGCGACCGTTCCAGAAAAATACCGCGACAAAATATCGCGATTTTGTAACCGAGGTTCCGACTTCCATAGTGTTGCGGTCCTCGCTAAAAATATATTATATCTAACTTATCTATATTTGTAGATTAATGTAACTTTTATCCGTCACTCATTTTCCATATATCGAGTTTATAATTGTGTATAGCCAATCTATCTCATTTTTAGAAAAACGATGACATTCCTTCTTATTTTTTTTCTTTATCAATTTTCGTTTAAATAAAATGAACGGCTCATATTTATGTGTATTGCAATATAATATATTTAATGTTAAAATCAAGAAGAAAGTCCAAACCACTGTCAAAAAATTGTTTATTGGGCTAACCTAACCTTAAAAATAGATATAAACAATAAAACTTATATAAATGTATAAAAGCAAATAAAATATTTTTTATTTTATTTTATTTGCTTTTGCGTTTCATCTTTCAAACAACACTATTTTATACCATGCCTAGTACATACCAAAAATCACGCACCAACGCCAATAGTAATCGACCAAATCGCGACAGGCAAAACCGAAACCCTAGAAGCACTCCAGCGACTGCTGGAACGAAGTACGTGGCCGCCGAGGTCGAGCGTCGATAATCAGTTACAGCAGTTATTTCTGTTCGCGACAGGGAACTAAAACTCTAGGAGCGCGACGGCTGGAGCGAAGTAGGTCGCCGCTGAGGTCGAGCGTCGATGCCCAGTTACAGCAGTTATTTCTGTTCGCGACAGGGAACTACAACTCTGGGAGCACGACGGCTGGAGCGAACACGTCCCAATCGAGATCGCACGGCGCTATGGACATACCAGTTCCAGATACTACTGTTGGCGACCAACGAAATCGCGACGGCTGGAGCTAAACACGTCGCTATGCGGTTACTACGGTTCGAGCTAACAAGTGCGATTATAAATAATTTATTTGCAAATTATAAATAATTTATAATTTTGTCGTCATTATGATCGTTGTTCTTCAATAACAGGTTCCTGATTCGTGGTGGAGCGCGATACGACGTTACAAAAAAATACCGCTCCAAAATCGCGTTACTCAAATACTGACACATCACTAGCTACAATATCCCGTGTCGTATGTGGTAAACAACTCTGTATATAAGACTTTCACCAAAAAACGAACTTATTTCCTATAAATGAATTTTGTATGCCTGACGATATTAGTTGCTACTTTAACATTATAGACATTAAAGAAGTTTGTGAATCGAAAGACTGATGTTTCTATTTGTTTTATTTTTTTAATATCAATTAATTGTTTTCAGGCTTGTTTCAAATGTAACGTATCGTTTATACCGTCAGGCTCAAATAAAATATTATTGGATAAGCATCATTGTAGGAAGTGCGGCGAGGGATTCTGTGACGCTTGTTCGTCCAGAACTTGCCCCGTTCCTCAAAAGGGTTGGCCCGATCCAGTACGAGTATGCGATTTCTGTTACGACGTAAGTTTTTTTAGATATTGATGTATTGTAATCGCAAAACATTTTCCGATGCACGTCATCAATCATATCGACATTGACACTAAAGTCTATAAACCTGACTAAATGAAATTTTCGCAAAAATGTTTAAATTTGTTGTATAATAATTTAAGATACCGAGCAGCTCTTCATTTTACTTTATAGAGCAAATGATTGTAACAAATATTTTATTTAGATTAAAGCTGCAAAAATTAGTTCAACCCGAATTTTATTATCGCTATATATGTTGGTCATATAGCACCGTGTTCAGCAATGTTGTCCTTTATTATTTGACAATTATCCTAGTGTCAGTCATTATTTTGTATAATATCGTGTTGTTGTTGAATCTTTGTGAGTAATTCTCGTTTTTTGCCTATTTTCATAGTCTTTTTTTAAAAATTGCGCTTTTAAGCACAAACAGTTCTTTTAAGAACTAAATTTTCGAGTGTGTGTATTGCATTTCTTGAAATTGTGTGTTAAAAGTATGCCGAAGCATTTAAACAGTCGAAGCAAGGAGCTTGTAGCTTCCCTGTTTTTTTGAAAGTATTTTGAACGAGAACGTGACAAAGGTTCTTTATTACACTTGACTGCAGTCAGAAAAGTAAGTTTGATTGATAAGCACATTATACCACTTTCAAAGTTAGTTTTTATTAAATTCTGTGATTATTAGTGTGCATTAATAGCACCCTCTTGTTATTACCACTTATGGCGTTGTAAGATGCACATCAATAAATAAATAACTCATAATAACGCTTATAATAATGTTCATAATGGTCTAGTTTTTGCCAATATGTAACAAGTAAAATAAACTATAAAACAAATTAATCAATTAATCACTAAAATGTTAGTTATTAAATTAAAAATGAAACGTAAAACTCTTTAAAAAATGATATAATAAATATGTTGTTTGTCAATTTTAAATTAAGATTCATCTCATAAATTCATCACAATCTGGCAGCGCTGTCGCCATCGCTTGTCACTCAAAGTTGAACACGTGCATCGGAAATTGTTTTGCGATTACCATAGATAATATTTAATTACTAATATTTTAATTTTTTTGTAGGATTTAGAAGGTCGCGGTGAAAGTTTGATTGCCGGATTATCCGGAGAGGAATCCGCCGAAGTTCGAGCTAGGTATTTAAGTGAGACAGTTGTAAGTTCCATATCAGCTGTGAAGTCGCTTTATGATAAGTCTAAAGATCTTCTTAAGGTTTGTAATATATTTAATATGTGACTTAAGGTTTGTTCCAACCCGCCGCAGAACCGTCACGGAATGATCACGCTCGTGCGCAGTAATTCAAATGTGTTCCAACCAAGATTTGACGGTTATCGGACGATCCTATTTGCGTACCAACCTACCTTAGGATCGTTTAGTTACGATTTCAGAACGGTAATTTTGGTACATGGTCTAAATTGTGAACTGTTTGGGTTAACTTGCGCATTAAAGCATATTGGCAGGGACAAATTATCGATTTTTAACAGCTAATTCTGGTCCGGCGTCCGGCTGATGCTTCTGGATTGGTTATTTTTTACGAATTCGAATACGTGTGCGTTATACTTTTGCTTGTGAGTTGGTGTGGAGTAAATCGTTCGGAAATTTTAAATTGTACACTTTCATAATTATCTATAGATAATAATTATAAGGATGAATGACGATGGTATGACTGATTTCTTTACCTCCACTTTAGATAGTGACAATTTGGAGTTGCTACCTAGTGAAAGGGTGAAAAATGAACAATATTTAGGTAAGCTTTTTGGAACAACACTTACCAACAATTACTGGATTCTGATTCTCCATTTTAAGAATAATAATTATTATTATTGCAAATTGCAAATAAAAATAATAGGGTTATGTTATGAAATTCTAAACAAAAACAAAAAAATCGATCGATACACGCACGCTTGACACTTTTGACAGTCCCGAAAACAATCCACAAAGCGTTCCAACGTTGATACTTTTTGCACCGTCACGAAACTATTCGAAGTTCGCGCATGCTAACAAAGTGTAAGAAAACCGATTCGAGTACGATTTCGAAACGATCCCGAAATGCTGGTTGGAATAAACCTTTAGTTAAGGAGTCGGTTTAGTAATAGATCTATCTCCCGGGTGGTGCATTGCAGGCACTCAATTTAAAGAATATCAGTAACTTTTTGATAGAGGGATTTTATATTTGCCATGTTGGTAAAAAATAACGGTCAAAATTCAAAGTTATTCATTTTATAGACTATACCTCTAAATAGGTATTAAAAATACATAAATTTGGGAACTTTTTATTTTTTTAAATTAATCATAAATTTTTCTTCGGAAAAATTATGATAAAACAGTTTCTGTTGAACTTTTGACATAAAATCATTTCAAATTTATAATTTCAGTCTAATAGCTATTTAGTCAATATGTTTAATTTATGTCAATGATGACAGGTATTGATAATTTCGATTCCAAATATCTCGAGAACCACTACTCGTAGCGATTTTTATCAAGAGACATTTTTTACGTAGAAAGCGTCGTAAATGTATATTTTTTTACTCAGTAGTTTTATACAGGTACGGACGAAAAGTTATTACTCTTCAAAACAGTTAAAACACATGTAGGTGGCGCCCCCTATAAACAGGAGTCATATTGACATCAAAATAAAATTCCTCATGTCAAAAACCCTCCAGACACCAATTTTCATCCAAATATTGACGTTACTTCAGAAATTATTTGGAAAAAAATCGAAATAAAAGTAAAACTTTTACACCCTGTATCTCCGACACTAAGCATTTAGGACATACATTTCTACGAACTTTTTAACTTATTTTTATCTGCTGAATATGCTGCCGAAGTTTCCGAAATACAGTTAGGACCACCCTGTATAATGACGACGATATCGTCGACTGATCGCTGTAATACGATCGTTTCTTTCGCGAATCACACTGTAATTAATGTAGCGCTTTTAATTTTAGGATACAATAAGACCAAGTTACTGGACTCCCGACAGCGAGTGTATAGAATGCGTATTATGCAAACAACCATTTGGACCATTGTTGTCGCTCCACCATTGCAGGGACTGCGGTAAATGCGTGTGCGACAATTGCTCAAAATCGCGAAAGGCTGTGCCACTTAAAGGCTGGGATTCCCCCGTTAGAGTGTGCGATACCTGCCGATAAGGTTTAGTCAAAGTATTTATTTTCATAATGCGAAGGTGGAAAACTTGTTTTGAAATCCGTAATATTACTTTTCTTAATTATTCATCACATACCTATATAAATATCGCTTTGTAATATTGACAGACTAAGAAGATAAACATAAGTTGATATATTTAATCATTTATTTTTATAAATATGAATGTTTGTGCTTGTATCTGTTACGACAGATTGTTAACGATACTTTTTGATATTTTTATTATTATTGTTACAATTTCACTTTAATATGTTTTATGTAGAGTATAAAACTGATTTTAGAGGCAACAATAAACTAATTTTCTAGATAACATATGAATTTGGAGTAATATAAAAGCATTTTTTCTATTTTATCATTTATCATAATGTTAAAATTTATAGAAAATTTTAAGACTCAGTAAATAATGTATTAGAAATAAAAAATAATAGGGATTAATTAAATATAACTTTATATCAAATATGCAGAAGTTTTTTAAGAACCTGAAGATTTGGTTTCTATTTTTCAGTTTTATAAGTCAAGATATTTCAATTTCATTCAAGCCATTGTTTTCAAAAGAAACATTTCTGACAACTAGACCGTTTTACGGGGTCTATTCTTAAAATTGACAGATAAAAATGGAGATATGGGATATTAGCATTACATTATACACACAAATAAATATTTTTATTTACTGCAGGCTTTATATTTATAGTTAGATATCGGAGAAATACCTGAACCTCATAACAAAAGTATAAAATGAAATCATATCGAATTATACAGGGTGTGCCATAAAATTCTCAAATGGCAACAAAATTAGGATTAGGATATAGGTATTGAAAAAAAAGTTTATGCGGAATTAGTTCATGTTAAATAACAAGAATAGTTCTTTTGGCTTATGACGTGACAATTGTCAAGGCGGCATATTGCCATAATTCTTTTTACATATATGCAAGTGGGGTTAGGTGACAAAATATAAAAAGGCGAAAGTTGTTTAGAAATGTGAATTTAAGAATTTAAGACTTTCAAAAAGTACATATTTTTGGTTATTTTTCGGACAATTTTCAAGGAACCTAGTACAATATGTGGATCTCCTGACGAAAACTGCGCATCGAAAACATTAAAAACAAAAAAGACCAGTTTCAGTAATTTTCAATAACAAAATTTGCGGATTATCACGTATTTTAAGATTTTGGTACTATTTGATGTTGCGGATGAATTTAGACAACAGAAAATACTTATTTTGACAGGTGACACGGTCAATGAGAAGTTTTTCCGCTATATAACGCACAATTTCGGTAGTATTATATATGTATGTGTGTGAAATCTTTAAAAACATAAATTCTGCATAACTTTTTTTATTAACTCAAATATAAAAGGGCATAATTTGTTGGGAAGTTTTTGGCACGCCCTGTATTATGTAGACTAAGTTTTCGGTTATATTTTATAGAGATACAGGGGTCTAGCTAGATGTGGATTAGTTTGTCACAATTTTTTATCATTATAATCTGTTTATTTAGGTATTAATATCTATTATGATAATTTGTGCTTGTGGATTTGAAAATATCTGATAATTCGGTATACCTAGATAATTGTAGTGTATTCAATATTCTAGAATCTTTTTTTTTCTCTAGCTAAGCTCCTGTCAAAATGAATTCTCTGTTTATTAACGCAATGTATGGATTTTGATAGGGAATCTCCAACACTGAAAAATATATACGTAAGATACCTGACTGTATAAAATGTCTTTTATTTATTAGCGAACATTTGATTTTGACGTTTTGTTTCATGTCCATAATTCAGTTATTTATAAATTTACATACCAGGTGCCCGGTGGCGTAGAGATACAGGCTCTGGTCTACCAATCTCAGGGTAGTGGGTTCGAATCCTACACCCGGCATTTCATCAGCCGACTATTTTTATTAAAATAAAAATAGTTTGGGTACCTAGGTCGACTCAGCCTTAAATTAGTACTTGGTATTCACAATCCTGAGGTAATAATAGGCGGTTGAAGCGTAGTGCTAGCCACATTACCTTCCTTGTATACCGAACGGCTCCAGCATGACAAGCTGTACCTTGCTACTCCCAAGGCGTTAAATCGCTATATACGGGAGCTATTATTATTATTATAAATTTACAAAATAATGTTAATATAAATATTAGGACTTGGTCTTGGGATTTTTTTCTATTATTCTCTGTGGTCAGTCCATGTACTGACTACTACCTCTGAAACGTTAAGAGTTTTTTTTTGGTTAGGCAGTATTTGAACATCTACCAATTTTGATTGCTTTGACGGATCTTGTTCTAGTCTTGTGGAAAACAACAGAAGAATTATAGTATAGTGTATCAGCCTGGTCGTTCTAAATTGGTGTTCTGTATTTCTACAAATAAAAGACGAAGACAGAGATAACTAAATTACGTTTAACCGGTTGGTAGGTAGAGATACAAAAAAATGCAGAGTTGCCGGTTACTACGTGCGGTGAGCAATACCTCTGGGGTAAGTTTTTTTTGTTTAGATTGCACACGAAATACCCCCGACCGATTATCGTTTATGCGCGTGCAGAACTGCGAAATTAAGGGACAACAAACGGCCACATTGTTGGGTATGCGACTTGACTAGTGGGACGTAGAAGCTAGTATGAAATCTAGCGTCGGATTAAGTGGTTATGTAATAAATACTTCGCATTTTTCTCTCGTCTACTTACTAGATCGCCATAGCGATTTACTCCTAGACATGTAAACATCGACCCAAGACTTCGCTTGCCAATGTCTGGGAGTGAATCACTATAGTCTTGGTGCATTCTCCGCCGGTGCTGCCGCCATCGGAGAATATCGTAAACAACTAATATATACAAATACACGGGTTTAAATAGCGAGTATACGAAAAATGTATTATATAGTTATTCTAAAATTGTTAGGAAGTATAATTTGTGAAAATTCTAAAAATAAAAAAGTAAATATTTTGATATCTTCAGAAGATCTAACTTGTATTATAATTTAGCTAAAAAACCTTTTAGATGAGTTCAACTACGTTTTATTCATCGGTTTTACTAGTGGGGCATAATTGGGGCTATTTCGGCTATAACGAAATTTTTTAAAGGTACATAATTTTATTATAATTTTAGATGTTTATAAAACATTGTTGATTAAAGAAAGTATACCATTAATATTGCAAATTATATTTTATCCTCTCATAGTATATATGTATGTCTATTTAATTCTTTGATTATGTAACGAGCACTTTGTTTACTTACTTGTTTCGTCGAACTGCTTGAATCCATTTTTGCTTTTGATCAAATTAGTGTGGGTATTAATTTATTAAGCTATAAAATGCTGTTTTGGAAGAGTTGAATATCAGGGAAAGTTGAGTTATTGAATGTTGTTGCACCCAACAACGCCCTCATTACGCTCTCTTTTACGCGTTAATATTTTTTTTGGCAATTTTATCAACATTTGAAATTGTCACAACACAACACGACGGCGACGCCTACTTCGAATTCTTTTTCACTTTTTACTTTTTACTACCCGAAACAGCGTTACATCACACAAACCTCGTACCTGAGTGTTTTATAGTCTCAATAACTGCACTAGCAAAAAACCAAAACACTTAAATATTGTGGCAAAACCACGATTTAAAAATATTATTTTTATGCGATTAACATGACGGCGGCTACTGATAATTTGAGATTTTTGCCGTTGAAGCGCTGCGGTCGGAATTTGTTGAAATTAACTGAAATGCACCAAGGCCTATAGGGATTTTATAAGTCGGAGAGAGAAATGCAATGGTGTTTATTACATAATGACGTAATGATACGCTTTAGTTCATGCGTTTAGGAAAATTCTTGCTCTTCTCTCTTTGTTCAATACATTTCATTGTTACTGGATAAATTCACTGTACTCTTCTTACACAAATCGGAACCAAACGGACTTACAACGCAAGTATCTAATCCTTGAGCACTGCAACCGTTAAATGATTATTGGCGTTACTTTCCTTTATGCAGTCCTACGCATAGAGCGTATGTGAATAATTTTACTAACTACTGTATGTGTCATTTCTGCAATAACTGAATTATTAAAAAAGGTAAAAGTTTTCACTCACACAGTTACTAGGAAACAAAACCAAAAATTCGAATTTTCACTAATAAATTTTAAGACAAGAGACTGGTGAACGTTTTATAAACATTATTTAAAATATATGGTACTCATAAATTGATAAATGACCAATCAATATTGTAATTTGTCTACCCTGTGCAAATCAATCGTTTTTTTTTCAAAATTTTAGCGCTTTTGACGTCATTTAAGTTACATAGGAAGGACATTCCTCCAGAGACTTATAAAAGCATTTAATATTTTTATTTATCCATTAATATTGTGTAGTGCCATTATTATTACTTTAGTACTAGATTTTGACTTTTGTTAGTCGTCATTCATACATATATTTTAAATTGTTAAATATTGTTACGTTAGTGAGGTTTTTGGAGTTTTTTTAACCAAATAAAAGAAATATAGTCTCAAAAATATTTTTATTGAAAAAATGAAACCCATTATTAAACAAATAAAAAAGAGAAATAAACCATTATTCTTAAGGAATACATTTGTTCCTTTTCTTTGGTTATGTACAGAGCAACCCCAAATGAGTTCTATTGTTTAAACAAAAGCAAAAACGAATGATAGTTGGATGTCACCCTATATATAACTTCTATAAATCTGTACTTATTGATTAAAATCATATATAACAATCTACAAAATCACACTAAAAAATCCAATAACATAAGCTTGAAATACAAAATGTCTACTCTATAAAAGAAAATAAATTAACCTATTCAGTATCATAAATTTACATCAAAAAGCATAATAATTTACTGAAAACAATATTGCTAAATAATATATAAGAAAATATTGCAGTAAAAATAGTTTTATTAATTATTAATAAGGTTAGTAATGGTAAAGGTTAAGATATTTTTGGTATAACGTTAATAGAGAAGTAAATAGAAACGTAGGGAACAAATTATTTTTTTAAATTATTCATTAATATCATACAAAATAAACTTTACTGTAAATAATAAATCAATCAAATAGAAAATACGAATTATACTCACCCATTTAACACAATATTTACAAAAGAATATGAAGTGAAAACGATATCATAAATATTTTTTTCTCACCATTCTACATAAAAGGTTCAAGATCTCACTAATATTAAATTATGATTAAATTAGAGTTTCCAACATATTTAGCTTTATATATGAATTTCGTAAAACTAGACTTAACAATGGTGCGTTTTGAACAAAGCGAAACACTTTCATTTTAGCACCTCCCAATTATTTTATGGTTTATCAAGTGTCATTAAACCGGAATGGTTGATTGGTTAAGTAGTGCGTCATGGGATTTTCATTATGTTCAACCATCGTTCGATTGAAGAAATAAGAAGATGTGCAACCTTATGGGCGATTTTGTGGTACAAAAAATGTCCGAGATGTAACTGGCGTTACCGTCAGGGTGTCCGAGATTTAGTTTAGCTCTGCGCCGCTGTAGGCTGTCGTTTACAGCGCAGCGGATAAAGAATACTGTGCCGTAATTCTGCTTTCAGTCGACAGAGTGGGTGGTTGCCGGAGACAGCGTTGCCAGAACTGCAGTACAGTATTTTCTATCATTAAACAATTTAATATAATATTATATGATTAAACAAAGAACGGCGTCAGAGTTAGCTTGGAAATAAAGATCGCTGTTATTTCATATGTAAAATATTATGGTAAATGTAATAATCGTTATTTCCAAGCCAATTAAACGGTTTTTATTCATACGAAATATTGAGGATCTATAAAAGAATTGTATTTTTGTTCTTTATTCTATATTTAAGACGAATAAATTTTCAATACATAAACTTGAATTTTTCATCCAAAGATATTTTCGTCAAACGTATTACAAATATTACACATTTTAATATGGCAACACTGTCGCTTTCAGTTCCACACCGTCTTCGATGTGCCTTCCTTCTTTTTTTAAGGATTAGAGAAAATAAGTGTTTTATGCGTTGGCTGCAGAACGAGTGGTGACTCCACCGTACAGCACTTGAGACTTAAAATCAAATCAGCCTTGTCACGAATTCGTCTATTAGGTTGCGTATCTTCCAAATTCATTTGATCAACGGTCATATATTATCGTACTCTTTATTTCAAGTAAAAACGGGATTAAATAGATTAAGAATCAGATATCGTTACGGCATGTTGGTAAATCACTGCGCATTTTCTCTGCCATTTAACTTATGATCCTATTGACGAATATCATTCAGTGTAAAATGTAAAAATCCATTACGTTGTCAAACAAAATTTACATCCATTTTGTTACTAAAATATTTATTACTAAATCTAGTGCGGCAAAAACTATAAATTGAAACAAACAAAAATGAGCCCAAAAAAGGCCAAAGATACTTGAAATTAATAAAATCGAAACACCTCCAATTACAATTTCGGAACGTACTCTAAATTTTCTCAACAATATAAGTTATAGGAGCGCTAACATTAAGCAAGCACCCACGTTGCCATTCATACAAATATTGAACGGCCGTTTCGCGCCAGTAATACGGTTGTCGATGTTACAGATTTTTCAATATTTTTTTAACGTATTTGGGGGTTAAAAACAGATTAATCCCCAAAGAAGTTGAAACCAAATCAACCAAAATTGGTTGCTGTGGTTTCAACCTTTTTGGTTTTCCTAAATGGCAACCTTGGAGTTTGCTTAATTTCGGGGATCCTATGAAGTTATCTCAGACATAATCTAAAACGAATATTAGATAAATAATGATGATGTAACGTAATTCGTAATTTTCTTTTGCAATACAAAACGTTCCTGCTTAATACGTGGCAGGCTATATTTTATTTTTTGACAGTATTTAAAATGAAATTTATATCCCGATGACGCGTTAAAATACCGTGGTCCGATTGGACCAATAGTTGTCGACAACCTATCTAATTTAATGACACTTGATTTTTTTCACTTTCTAAACTACTAAGTAATTTTTTTAACATAATTATTAACCTTTTAATGAAATATTTTTAACCCTTTATAAGAAAATATCCATTAATGAGAAAACATTGAATAAGATCAATAAAATCAACTCTGTATTTTTATGTTTTAGGCACAAATATGATATATTTATATTTTAAAGAATATGAAATTTGTTCGTAGCGAAACTAAAATTGCAAACGATCTATAATTTTAACATATTTATATAAAATATTATCGTCAAATGTAATAATAAACGTTTCATACAATTCTGGTGCAAAATATTATCATCAAATTTTAATTATAATTTTAACTATGAAGCGTTACATGTTGAGAGCGAATTTGATTGTAAACTTCAACTACTGAAAGTAGTTTTATTAACTTTGTATTCATATCAATTTTGATGTTATATACAGCAGTGCGGTCCTTAAGATTTTGGTTTTATTTTTGTAAAATATGTTATTTAAAATCTCTGTGGTTTTAAGTTCTGGATGCAAAAGCTGCCAACACTGTATAGAATAAATGTATCAACCCATTTGTCGCCTATTTGAATGTATGCAATTTTCTTCTGCGCCATTTTTTAAGCAGTTTCTTATACGGGGTGGTTCGAAAAAGTAACACCAGCTTATAATAATAAGTATTTCTGAATATATTTTAAGTATACACATATATCTCATAATTCACTCTCATCATAAACAAAGGGATTTACAGGAACCCTATATTGCTCTTGTTACGAAAATTAAAATAATTCCTTATTACTAAAAAATAAATACATTAAATCATAATGTAAGTTCATATACACATATTTTTCTATACAAAAATATTTTTGTTTCGATTGTTTATCAATGGATAAATTATTTTTTGATAACAATCTTTTTTTATACTTTAATATATTATTTACAATATTTGTTACATCTCTAATTAGAAAATGTAGAAAAAAAAATATTTTTTTTGTAAATTTTTTGAGGAAAAGTACTTATATTAGTATAATTTTCTAATATTAATCAAAATCAGGGTCGGATTCTAATTTGGTAAAAAATTGTGCTTGTAAAAAATTAGCAATTAATTAACTATTGATAATAATATTATTAATCTTAAAGATTAATAATATTATTATCAGTTCACAGAGTATTCAAAATTGCGTGTGTAACAAAAATATGTAATTCTTTTGACGAAATATTTGTCTGTCCAACGAGTCAGTAGATTTCGACAGATGGCATCACAAAAAATGACAGAAAATACTATTTACCTGTGAATAAAAATGACAGACACAACGTTCACTGTCATGTATCGACTCATTGGACAGACGTACAATTATCATAATTGTGACAAATACGTCGAAATTTTTAAATTGTTTCTATGACTTTAAAAAATATCTAAAAAGCTCTGAGAAATAAATATAAAAATATACAGGGTCGCTGATATGTATGGGAACGGTCAATTATTACGTAAAATATACGAGGTACCGCAAAGTTAAATATAAAAGTTATAGGGTTTTTAAATGTCTATTGGCGAGTAATACATTTCAGTATACAGGGTCGGTCATAAAGTCGTGGCACATCAAAGTTTTATTTAATTTCCCTATATATTATTGCATATTTCAATTCCTTCTTCAATTCTAAGCAAAAATCGAGATACACACAATGTACCTCAAACAAACCGTTTTCGAGTTATTGACTTTTGAAAATATCACTTAAACAATTTGATTTAATTAATTTCGATGTGTTCGGTTTGATTTAACGAAGCCATTTTGCGGAAACTGTGACACTTATTATTATTTGACATTAGTTCTCAAGTGACCATTTATAGATGTATAAAATGAGATTAAATCAAGACTGGAAATTACAAAATTTTCGTTTAACATTTCAAAATTAAATCTTAATAATTCGGAAATGGTTGAATTTAGGTAGGTACATTATGTGTATTACGATTATTGCTTCAAATTGACGGAAGAATTGAAATATGCAATAATATATACAAGGGCTTTATAAGGCATATATATATACTTTATGACCGACCCTGTATACTTAAATTTACTACTGGCTAGTAGACATTTAAAAACCCCATAACTTATGTATTTAACTTTTTGAGGTACCTTGTATATTTTACCTAATAATCGACCGTTACCATAAATATCAGCGACCCTGTGTAAACGAATACGCTTTGTCAGTCATTAAAACATAGATCTTTAAAATGACATGTATGATCGAAAAAAGATCAGTCATCAGAGTGACCTCTGAAATGAAAGACCTCTATATGAGATTTATAAAAAAATATCATAAAAACTTCTCAAAATTACAGAAAATAAATAAAGAAAAATTACAGAATAAGAAATAACTAGGTTACAAAATATGTAACTTTGTGAAGTCAAAATAAACTGATTATAAACACGCGCGTTCTTCAATTCAAATTTGTTCTAAATTAAACGCTTAATCCGACCCTGACCGAAAGGCTGAAATTTGGTTCTTTTTTAATTATTGCCTAGATACCTTTCAACATACCTAAGAAAATAATCTGTTATAACGCAAAAATTATCTATCATGATAATTTGAACATTTTTTCTCCTCAGTTTATACAATTGACTCGGTTTTTAAGCATAAAATTTGTTTATACAGGTTGTAACAAAAAGTTCGTAACAAATGGGAATACTGGAATCCTCTCATTGCTTATATGGGAAGGATTATATTCTTTTATGCGGAGTTTCGTAACTTAAGGCCGCCCAATTGAGTTTGCAATTGCCACATGACATAATCGAATAATAATATTTTCCAATTTGTTATGAGCTTTGTTACGCACTCTGTATTACATAACTAACAACGACACATGATATTACGAAAATCTCAAATTAGGCACTTAACGATTTAAAAATCGGAAATTAACCAAGTAAAATCAGGGTTTGTTAGTGCTGCTACTACTTCCGCTAGAATTAGACGCGCCATTCTTTGGGGTTATGTACAATACGGGACTGGGAGGCCTTGAAGACTTACGGACTGTCTGAGGGATTACCGTTAGGGATTTGGGGATCCTCGGCATATTTTGCACCGGTCCTTTCTTATCTAAAGATACGGTTGATGGACCGGCTCCGTCTGTAGTCTGACCCAATCGTTCTATTTGTTTATCTAGTTTGTCTAGAATCGATTCGCTGCTCGAGTCGGTTGCGCCGCTAGCATTTGACAGTAGAGTAGGAGCGCTCGCTACTATACTTATGGGTTTGTTTTCGGTCACTGTACCTCCTGACGTTTTGCTAATGACCAGTCCTTTTTTGGAGACCGCGCTTTTCAGTACGGAATTGGGCGATACCATCACAGACCGCTGGCCTTGCTTGGCGCCCTGCTGTTCTTGGAGTTTTTTTTGTTTGGCTTCGAAGCTGCGCTTGATGGCGCACATTTTCTTGTAGTCTTCGAGGGTGATATGGTAAGGTTTACCGCCGGAGATAACCTGAAATAATAAGGTTTTCAAAGTTAACATTCATTCCTTTAAAATAATTCGAGTATAGTCTCATTCAGGGCCTCGAAATTAGTGGTTTCGATTACACTTTATACTTTTTAGTTTACGATCATTCACAATGTTTAAAAAACACAATTAAAATTAATAGAATATCCTAGCAACGGCTTGCGTTAGTTAGTTGTATCCATAGAGAACGCCTAATATTTTATAAAACAATTAACTTTGCATTTATAACCACAATTTCTCTTGACAGAAGATAATCAAAGGCCAAATTTTGAAGTATAATTAGTGGAAAAGTTAAAAGTTTGATAACTTTTTCACACTAAAAAAACAATAAAGTGTAATAGTGGAGTGCCCAGAGACTTTTACCTCTGAATTCAATTACTATGAATGCATTAATGCGAAACCTTCTGTATTGTGTTTTATAGATAAAATACTAAAATGTTTACCATTTTTTTTCGATGCTTTTAATTTTTTATTTTAGTAATTTTAGTAAATTCATAGTTATTTCCTTATTTTTTTGATAAGTAAGTTTATTGAAATATGCTTATTATTGAATCTAATGCATAAACTATACCTCTTCTGTTTATATTCTAATCATTAAAATTTTTGAAATCGAATTATACAGGGTGGCGCGTCATATGCGACGCGATTTTTGCAAGGAGAACAAAAGTTTGTATTGAAGTGAAATTTTGTGAGCTTAGGTAAGTCAATTTAAAGCATTTTCTAAAATTATATTCTAGAAAAGTTCTACAGGGTGTCCCAAAAAAAAGTTACATATCAAAGTTGTGTTTTTTGTAATGGAACACCCTATATATTAATGGATTTTCGGTTTCTAGTAAGAAAATAAAGGCGAGTTTCATTAGAAAATATATGACTATAATGTATAGTTTTTGAAATACATTCACCTTTACAAAAAATGGGCACCTTAAAACTTTGATGTATTTTAAAGTTTAATATATTTTGTTCTAGTGGGCCGATTTTGATGATTTTTAAGCAGTATGTAACCAAATTATTTGACTTTTTGGTTGTTGTCCCCATCTGTTAATTATACGAGAGAAAACAAAATGTTGATATTCTGGTGAAAATTTGAAACACCCTGTGGAGGAATATGTTAAAACAGCAAGAAATTTAAAAATCATTATTATTTATAGACACTATCATTTTTTCGTAATTTTTACTTGATTTTGAATAGATCTAGTAAGTTCTGGTCCCGAAGCAGGCCTTTTTGACATAAGATTTTCTTTATTTAGTCTTCTTCTTATAGTCCGTTAGTTAATGTACGTTCCTTAGGTGCAATTCATTATAAATTTGAAACGCTGACAAACGGCGGTTTCTAAGCGATAAACTAAGTCGATCGTCTCGATTAGAAGTTCCAATACTGAAAGAAGTTTCTGGACGTCTAGATTGACGTCCTCATGAACGTGGTCGTAATTCAGAAACCACCAGGACCGGTTTTAAGGGCCATTGGGCCCAAGCGGATATTTTTTCGGGCCCCTATCCTATGTTTGTTATACATAATGATTATGGTTAGGCATGTAGTGTGTTGTACGATTTACTAAATTATCTATGTAAAAAGAAGTTTCAACGAATACAATGTATTTTGTTAAACATTTTACAAAAAAACATTTTAAATAACATTAAACAGCATTTAACGCAAAAATAAAACATTTATAATTTGTGAACAGAACATAAAAGAAATAACTTAATAAGTAAACAAAATAAAAATTTGGGACATTGATCAAATGTGTTTCTTTCTTCATTTCTCTTTTGCAAACTTGTCAATTATTAAGTTGCAATCTAATTTTTCGATATTTGATCCTTCTATGTGGATCAGAGAAAGAGCATCGAGTCTCTCTTGGCTAATGGTGGATCTGAAATAAGTTTTAATCCTTTTTAACGCAGAAAATGAGCGTTCCCCGCTAGCGTTAGAAACTGAGATAGTAAAATAAATTTCAAGCAACGTAAGCATATTAGGGAAAGTTGATTTTAGTTACTGCACAAGTTCAAATTTTTCAATCATTTCTTTTTTATTCATATTGGCACATAGTATTCGAAAATGAGCCATTACATCATTTAATACATCTCCTTCTACATACGACTTATATGTATTTTTTAAGATATTGGCAGACTCTTCAAATGCTATGTCATCGATATTGCTAAAAAACAACTTAAAACGTTCGTTAACAGTGTGATAGCTTTTAATTCGTCTTTCGAGATCTTGAATTATGGAGTCACATATTACGTAATGGGCTTTCACCTTAAACTTCTCTTTGCCACTTATGTGAACTTCATGTTCTTTTGATTCGTCGAAAAATACTTTTCTTTTTCTAGTTAGAGTTCTTTTTCTAGTTAGTATTATGTTCTTAATTATAATAGTTAGTAGTTCTAATAGGTAGCGTCATCCACTAAAGTCGCTGCCTCAAATTCGATACCGTCAAAATTTCAAAGGAGTGTTTTGACAAATGATAACTCGATGCTAGTAAATATATTTCGTGATGGATCTTGCAAAGCTTTGCTCGTAGCATTAACACTTTCTAAGATTTTAAACCATATGGTAGTCAACAATGCAGGTTCGAATTTTTGCATTTTCTTTAAAAGTGCAGAGGCTTCATTTCTTGTTATTGGTTTTTCACCTTGGTCATTCGCAATGACAGAAAACATTTCTATAATTACTTTATAATTTAGTTCAAGAGCAGCAACTGCATCAGCCTGGGCTGACCATATAGTACCACTAAGACGTTTAAGAGAAATTTTACACCGACTTAATAGAATAGACAAACGGTGGGTGGATGAGGAAAAGAATAATTTGTTGAACTAAGAAAAAGTAATTGGAAGCCTGAAGACAAGATTCACTTGAAAAATTAACTGATAAGTTTAAAGAATGGCTCGCACATGGTATACAGCAGTAGGAGATAACAGCTTGATTCTAGCTTGCAGCTTGCAGCCCGTTATAATTACCAGACATATTAGCTGCATTGTCATAAGATTGCCCACGACAGTTCTCAATTTTTAAGCCTAAGGCTTCTAGTTTTTTTAAACAACATGTTTAAGATATTCTGCCAGTGTGTTTTTCTATTTTAATCAATCCCAAGAACCTTTCCTCTACTTGTTTATTATGTATGTATCTTAAAATAAAAGTTAATTGATCACAATAGCTAATATCAGGTGTGGAATCCACTATAAGAGAATAATACTTCGCAGATTTAATTTCATTAAAAAATAACTCAATTTTAAAGGCGGATTCTCACGACTGGCGTACTTGACAAACATTTCATATTGGAATATACTTGCCATGTCGTGAGAACGGGTTCCTTGGTCACTTGTCGCGTCCCCACTCTCTGTAGGTAAATATAGCCCGAGTCAAACGATTAATCGTACACTTGCCAAGTATACTTGGCCAGCCTGGGCCAGCTTTGTTTACACTTGCCGAGGCGCAAAAAAACGACTGCGCAAATAATGTTACTGTTATAGCGTATGTCCGATTTATTTCCGGATCGTAGTGTTTTTCGAGTTAATTGTGGATAATTTAAAACGTTAAAACAATAATAGATTATGTAATATCAAATTTACATTAATAACTTCAATATTGGCGGCATACCTAAGTCGTTTTCACAGCAATAAATGTAGTGGAAAAATGAAGACTACACGGGAAAAACCAGATATGTCCCATTTTCATAGTAATTAAGATACAACTTTATAGACAAATGTTAACGTCATTCGAAAAAAGAAAGCAACAATACGCTTAGTTCCAGAGATATTACAGCTTGGTTATTTTGCCGTACAAAAGAAAAACCAGAGTAGTCCACGCGTAAATGGCAAAAACCAGAGATGTACTTACGCATGGGCGACAAGCATGCATCTTGCAATTAGTATTATATTATTAAAACAAGGGATATTACAGAAAATAAACGTCGAAAATCAAAAACACAAACAAATTTATTCCGCTCGAAACTTGCCGAAGCTTACAATAAACAACAATAATCTCGACTGACCGAAAAACATAGATGAATCAACAAATCTCTCAAAAACATCATCTGACACGATCGATAGAAAAATATTATCCTTATGTAACAATCTTAAAGGTATACACATACGTAATTAATTTATGTACGCATATACGGAATATTTTTTTCGTTATCAATATGGTTATAAATTTATGTATGGTAATAAAAACCTACTTAAATATAAATTTTCAACAAAAAAAATAATAGTTTAGATTTAGGTTTTATACAACCTTTAATTAATTGAACATCTCTGGTTTTCTGCTGTTTTGTTTTGCATTTTGACTATTTTTTTTAGATTATCTATTTAGATTTTTATTTCAATATTTCAGAATATGGCGATAATTCACAATATTAATAATTCAGAATTGGTAGTAATATAAATATTTTTCTAATTATTCAACCGAAAATAACATATTTCCTTAAAAACACTAAATTGCATTTTTCTCGGCTCCAATTAAAACGGACAAAACTGGGTTTTCCCGTGTAGTCTTCAAATGATGTTGTTTTGGAATTTATGGATTTATACGAAAATGAGCCCTTCATATGGATGGCCAAACATAAAGAACATAGAAATCGTATTGCAGTGTACAGTAAAAGAACTTAAAAAGAAAAAAGAATCACTAGCAACGACAATTTCCGGACGACCAGTATCCATGGATGCGACTATACTGTTTACTTGCCAAGGATTGTAGGGGTACTTGGCAAATACGCAAATATTGGCGTACTTGCCAAGTACACTTGCCAATGTAGTACAAAGTGGGGACTGGTGGGGATACTTGCCAAGTACGCAAATATTGGCGTACTTGTCAAGTACGCCAGTCGTGAGAATCCGCCTTAAGATACCACCGAGCAGAACAATAAATTATTATATCTACTAAACCCTTCTCGGTTGATCGTTGATCATGAACATTATATTGTACATAATAAAAAAAATTTAGTTAAAATATTTACTTTACCTTTTTTACAAGACCATTTATTTATTGACTTCTGCTTCATTTTCATATTTATATTTTTTATGACCGAAATACGAGCCCCCAAGCGGCCGCTTGTTTCGCTTTATGTATAAAGCGGCGCTGGAAACCACTCAGTATACTCTATGGTATTAAGGTATTTTTGGAATCGGAATTTTATAGCAAATTCACTGAACTAAACAAATATAAAGCATTTCATTTGAAAAACTAAAACTTAAGTGTAAAAATATATTTGACTCACCCTGTATATATATATAAATATTTTTGAAATGTGAATTACCATTAAACACATATTTTGTAAAAGGTTTGGAGTGAAAACCTCAAATAGGAATCCTGATACAGAGCTTTTTCGGAATATGGAGCCATCTTGTAGGTATGCATTTGTATATGTGTGTTTATTAAAATACTAAAGTGAAAGCAACGAATTTAAATGGGCAAACTTTGTAATATATCGAATTAACAATACAATGCAAAAAGTTTTATAATAATTCGTTCACAGTAAATGAATTCCGAGGTTTGTATCCCATAAGGGCTTAAAGCACTCCACTAGTAATAGAAACGACTAATTTATACCACTAATTGCAAGGTTCTGAATGAAGCTCACAACAATTCACAATGTCTAAAGCTTCATTCAGAACCTCGCAATTAGTGGAATAAATTAGTGGTTTCAATTACACTTTATACTTTGTAGCATTTTTTTTTAAATTGCTATTAGACTTCAAGAGAATCAAGGCAAATTAATAAAAATGCGTTTATTTCATAAAAAATCGACAAAATATCAAGAGACAACTTTTAACCGGCATTAAACTGCTTACACTATTTCGCTCACAAGAGAAAAAAAGGTCAGTGGCGTATATTCTTTTTTTTTAAATATTGCAGTGATAACCCATGTGCATGTCCCCCCCCCCCATACGACACTTTTCTAGCTTTAAAATATGTCCCATTTATAGTAATTTTTACCCTCATAATTTCATTCAAAACGTTAAAAGTGCTTGAAAGAAAATTATAATAAATCGAAAAAATATCAAGACTTTATCACACTGTAGATACGAAACAAAGCAGAAGCGGACCTATGTTGATACGAGAGATGGCACATGTTTTTTGAAACACCCTGTATAGTTTACAAATAAACATACCTGCACTAGTCCAGGTTTACGCTCGTTTCTTTTGGATGGATCGATAGGTATCAAGTTTGGTCTCCAATTCTTCGTAATGGGAAACTTGATTTTTTGGCTTTGCGGCTGGCTCCTGACGACCGTAGAAGATCGCGCAGTGCTACTGTGAAGAGATATCAATCCAGGTGGAGCTGCAGTAGTCTTGCCTTTCGATGATAAAGCTTGAAGGACGTTAGATTGCATAAGCAGCGGTGGCTGACTTAACTGTTGTAAGGTTATAGGCGTTTTCGAAGATGATTTAGCAGTCTAAAATTAAGATGAAAAAAAAACAAATAATTTAATATTTTTCAAACTTCCTAGGTTTAGAAGTATCAAATACTGTATTAAAAGTATATAGTTAGTATACCGGGTGCGTCTCAAAAGTGGCTCATCCCTATAATTTTTTTATTTTTTCAGATAAAAAAAAAACGAGATTTGCTATGTTAGTATATGACATAAAGTAGGATTGATTGTTGTATTCAATTGTTTTCGGTCACTTCCTGTTTTCCACTCTGAATAGAATGACATATCATATGTCAACTTTTGACATTTTCGCATATGGTCATGCGGTTCATAAAGACAATTTGACGTGAAATACCAAGCGTGTGGTACCAAATTATTCGTAAAAAACTGCTTTTTTTAAATATTCTAATGAGCCACCCTTGTTTGATTTGAAAAAATTGAGATAAGATTAAAAATACGATTTGTGCGTCTTTTAACTGGCCAGGACAACTAAAAACATTAGACAATCAATTCTATTTTTCCAAGGCTCCTTGATTAAAAATTATTGTTTTTAACACAGCCATGGCACTCTAGATTGAAATTTAAAATACATTTTTTTTTTCAAGCGAGAATGTCAAAATTTGACATATGATATGTCAAAATTCATACGTCGTTCTGTTCAGAGTCTCATTTTAAAAATCAAAAGTTGTAGTCATTTCCGGTGAAACAGAAAGTGACCGAAAACAATTATTGAATACGACAATCAATCCTAATTTATGTCATATATGTACTAACATACCAAATCTCGTTTTTTATCTAAAAAAATAAAAAAGATATAGGGGTGAGTCACTTTTGAGACGAAAGCGGTATACTGGCCCGACAATGGATCTCTAGGCATAGGAATTACATGCATTGGAATGAAACGCCTATAAAAAGTCTATGCTTAAACAGAGATGGACAACAACTTCCCCGTTTCCACTTCCACTACGACTGTCTACTTAGACAAACTCCAATAAGATAACAAATTTTGGAAATTCCGCCACCTCCCATCCACTCATGATACCCATCTCCCTGCCCTTTATTTATCGTCATTATTTTATTTCCCTTCCCGCGCCTCCGCACCTCGCTATTCCGACTCCCGTCAGTTCATCACAGAGTTGCCAGGTCTACCGGTTTCGTCTGTAAGCTACCGATCTACCGATTTAAAGAAAAATCTAACGATATATTCAACTGCGTCTTTAGTTTTTACAATAGAAGCACTTTTAAAAAGCTGACTTATTTGACTAAAAATTAAGCGACTGCCGCGTTGGAATCTGTATAATCTGACTTTATTATTGTTTCATTAAATTTTATTTAGTAATAACACACATACAGGTCATCGTTCTGTCTAGTTGCAGAGTTACAGAGATATTCCTAAAAATCCTTATTACTCCTTATTAGGCTCGGTATTGGCGACATGCCCGAAGAAGTTGATATCTTTTGAAAAGATTTTATTTCATTCATCTACTAAAGTTGAACCCATATTTCCCCCCAAAAAATGTAAATAAAAACCAAAATTTAAGTTAAGAAACAACCTAAATTCGGACAAATATTTTAGTGATTTTCCCGTCAAAAAATATATTAATATGAAAAAAGAGTTGAGAGTTGCTACAGCTTTCCCATTGAAATGAAATTAATTTTAGATATCACTGATCAAAATTTGTACAAAGGTAAAATTGACTGCTACACTAATTTGTGACTGCTATCCCTACTTGTTATAGTTTTATATGTTTTTATTAATATATTAATATTATTTAATTCAATATTTTTTTTAATATTAAATAATATACCTAGCTATTTCTAATTCTTGTTATATTTATTATATTTGTATTTTATTTGAGTGATCTATTATTACGACACATAGGAATGCTAATTTTGGACTTAAATATTATATTTTATTTCGTTTCTGTACTTTTTGTTGAAGATCTACCGAGAATTTTGTTCTCGTATGGAATTACAATCTAACAAACCCGGCAACCCTGTTCGTCTACTCCTTATAAAGTTTTTTTCGACCTAATTCCTTTGTCACAGCCGCGGCTTTGTGAAGCGCCGCCGCCGACCGACTGTGTCGGGGCGACTGCTAGGAAGATCGTACAGTATTGCCATTTCATAGAATTGCACTTGCTATTTTAGAAATTATATCAAAGTTTTGCATGTTACTTTTCGTTTTAGAAAGAAGTTATGTGCCTAGAGAAAACATTCGTAAAATTGTTTCGTACTTTATTTAATATTTCATTAAGTAGGCAAGATAATGGGATTAGAAGATTTAGGATTTTGACAAGCCAACATAATTTCGATTTAATTGAATGGCAACACTGTCCGTCCTGTTTCTATTTTTTCGATTCTGTTCTATTAGTAGGCGGTAGACCCCACACAAGCGTCTTAAAGACCCGCCCGGCGCCCCCTCTCGTAGGGGCTCTCTCGTCGTATCACTTCTATGATCACTTCCCCTATACGATGGTAGGGAAAAGACACTTTATCCGTCTCTGTTGCACTGCAGTGTATTTTGCAGCCTTACCATCTTTTTTTATCGCCTTGAAAACCTCCTATTGCTAATATTCCTTTGCCAGTAGTGTATAGTTAGTTTACGTGTAACAGATATATTTTTACATGTTACAAATAGTTTTTTACACGTAAAAAATCGTTTTTTTGCGGGTAACAAATAGCTTTTTACGTGTAATAAATAGTTTTTTACACGCAATAATTTGATTCACTTTCACAAAATTTGTATTAAATATCAATATAGTAGTTTAGACTTTCGCGGCCATCGTTTGAAGAAATTTGGGTTTTCGGGTTAGCAGGCACTCGTGCTAGCGAAATGTTAGGAAGCAATTCTAACCGACGACGGCCTAATAACCCGAAAAACCAAATTTCTTCAAAATATTAATATTTTTGATAAACACGTGGACTGCTCACAAATAGTAGGCTGTCCTTCACCACTAGCTCGTGTGTCGCGGCTCTGAATTTTTACTCCCAGCGCGCGTAAAGAACTTCAATTCAAGAAAATTTTATGATATTGGGGTAGGCAACGCCTTTTTGCTTACATTGCACTGCCTCACGTGCCCCCCATATAAAATTTTCATAGAGGACACTATAGTTTTGAACTTTAAAATAAGCAAATTCAGAACTACTTACAGCGCTTTCCCTTCCCACTTGACTTATAGAAACCGGTGGTAGATTGTTGGAACCAGACTGTCCAATATTCTTGTTTACTTTGTTGAAACTGGCCATACTCATTGGCTGCATATTAGAAGCGTTGGATGGTATGTTGTCATAAGCGCGCAAGCGATTATGCACGCTTTCGCGATAGTTGATTGCGTGGTGACTTGCTGTTGGTGATAGAATTAAATCACCATTTCTGAAATAAATAATAACTTTATGTATTTTATAGCGATGTATATATTTGCAGGTATATATTATTGGTGTATATGTATATACAGGACACCCTGTATATAAAAATATATACAGGACACCCTGTATATATTTTTAATTTTAAGTCTATATATTTTTTACAATTTCCATAAGTTCCTCTATTAATTGCAAATACAGAGTGGCGCACCTCATTCGCCTCGGTTGATTATACGAAAACGGAAAGATGTAGAAACAAAATATTTTATGGGTATATGTGAGGAGGCAATGTGCACAATTTAAAATTATTTTGAAATATACAGGGTGTTTCAGAACTAACATCCATACCAAAGTTATATTTCTTCTTATGGAACACCCGGTATTTTGTTTCATTTTTGGATTCCTGGGCCTAAAAAAAGGCATTTATTATAAGAGTTAAATATGTTTAAAATCATTGGTTTTTGAGATATTTAAAGATATTTAAATTTGCATGCTGTTATAAAATAGATTATTAACACCCTGTACATTACTTTTCAGAATTAATTCTTGAGTTGAATTTAAACGTAGAGAAATAAACTTTACTGGAAAATGTTACTGCTTTCTTAAATGTATACAGGGGTATCAAAAATTGCTGATCTATTTTAAGGATATATTTTATATAAAAACTTCGTTATTTCAAATACAATACCCTGTATTTTTTACAATAAATCGAAGCAGATTCAAATGTTCTTTCAAACTATATTAGGGTTTCCTATACCTATCTAGCTCAGATTTTGAATAAAGAGCAATTTTTCAATAAAATGGCAACCAAGAGGGCTAGTGTCGTCATGGCAAGTTTCTAGTGACAGTTAGTAGCTATTTTCAAAATCGAAATTAGTTTATGGCTTATTTAAATTTATAGCAGTTTACTTTTATTTAATTTACCTACGATAGTTTAATAAATAATATTTATTAAATATATATTCATTATTCTATCAAGAAAAACGAAGTAGTTCTTTGATTTATTTTACGACGACTTGTAGATATATGGATTTTCTATAAAAGATTACAATTACAGCAAATTCATTTTCTTACTTTACTTTTTTTACTCTTTATAACCACATACCAGCTCTGCGAAATAGGACAAGTAGTTTTTCAAAGGAACGCTTATCAGGAAGATTCCTATTTTTTGATATCTTTGAGCATAAGCTCTTGACGCCAAGAAGCAATTTTCCTTGCAACACAAAATAAAATCACTACAAACATATCCATTCGTTCCGCCAGCCGATACTGCTTTATTTTTCTTGATAAAATGAATACGTACATATTACACTATTGTAAGGTAAATCTAAATAATCTGTTATAAATTATAATTAATAATGTCCATAAACTAATGTCGACTTTGAAAATAGTTACTGTCACTAGAAAATTGCAATGGCGACACCAGCCATCTTGATTGCAATTTTATTTAAAAATCGCTTTTTATTCAAAATCCGAGCTAGATAGGTATAGGAAACCCTAATATAGTTTGAAAGAGCACTTGAATCTGCTTCGGTTTATTTAAAAAAAATACAGGTCGTTGCATTTGAAATAACGAAGTTTTTATATAAAATATATCCTTAAAATAGATCAGCAATTTTTGATACCCCTATATAACTTTTAGGAAGCAATGCCATTTTTCAGTAAAGTTTATTTCTTTACCTTTAAACTCAACACAAGAATTAATTCTGAAAAGTAATGTACAGGGTGTTAATAATCTATTCTATTGTAGCACGCAAATTTAAATATCTTTAAATATCTCAAAAACCAAAGATTTTAAACATATTTAACCTTTATAATAAATGACTTTTTTTGGGCCCAAGAATCTGAAAATGACATAAAATACCAGGTGTTCCATAAGAAAAAGTATAACTTTGGTATGGATCTTAGTTCTGAAACACCCTGTATATTTTAAAATAATTTTAAATTGTGCATATTGCCTCCCCACATATACCCATAAAATATTTTGTTTCTACATCTTTCCGTTTTCGTATAATCAACCGAGGCGAATGAGGTGCGCCACTCTGTATTTGCGATTAATAGAGGAACTTATGGAAATTGTAAAAAATATATAGACTTAAAATTAAAAATATATACAGGGTGTCCCAGAAATAAGTGCAAGTATTTTAACTGGTAGTATAGTTCAATACCAGAAACACGCCTATGAGGGGTTTTTCGCGAAAATTTTTTTTTAAAATTCGGAATTTTTTGAAAATTTTGTTGGAAATTTTTTTACTTTTTATTTAAAAAAAAATTTCTTGGTAATATGGCAACATAAGTAATAGATTAACTTTAGAAGAAAGAAAATCCAGAAATGATCCAGTGGTTCTCAAAATTTTAGCAAAAAATCATTTTTTATTGGAGATTTTCAAAGTAAAATGTCTCAGTTATTTTAGATTTATTTGAAAAACGGTAAAGAGAAAATATGTTTCTTTTATCGAGATCTACCAGCCCTGAAAATATTTGCACTTATTTAGGACTCACCCTGTATATTCTCTTTACCGTTTTCAAATAAGTCTACAATAACCAAGTTATTTTAATTTGAAGATAACAAAAAAATAAGATTTTTTTCTTACATTTTGAGAAACTTCTTTCTTCTAAATTTAATCTACTGCATATGCCATACTACCAAGAAATTATGTTTTTTTGACTAAAAACTAAAAAAAATTCCAAAATTAAAAAAAAAAATTGGCGAAAAAATTAATAATCTTGTTTTCTGGGGTCAAAATATACTACTTCTAAAAATATTTGTACTTATTTAAGACTCACCTGTATATAAGAAAAAATACAACGAAATAAAGTAACATTAAAATGAGTAAAGGTGAAAAAATACACAAACGCTACTGGAACATATCAAATTCATAAAATTGACATCTTAATTAAAAAAATGTTAATTTTTTTTTTAATTATTATTGTCAAATTATTATTGTCAAATACTAATAAATAAATAAAAACATAATTATTTAACTCTTCGAAATAACTTCGAAATTTTGTAACTGAATGAATCAAATTGAAAAAAGATTGAATCTATCAAATCTTTTTTTCATCATTTTATTCAATACAATAATTTACTTCATTAGTATGATGGTACATATCATATATACAGAGTTAAAAATAAGTACATATGAACTATTTTATGTAATATATTTATTAAACATTCCGCAGCTTATCAAAAATTCTTGAAAACTAAATGTTTTTAATTTCTAATTTTTTAATGTCAAAAAATATTGTACGTACCTAAAATACTTCTCTAACAAAATTAAGTGCCGCAAGAAACTACTTTTGCTTCCGTACGGTTTTTGCAGTTCTTGCCACAGTAATTTTGTTTCTTCGTCGTACTGTATCGTGGAAACGCATTTTTCCCATCCTTCAGGCGTGCGCTCTACCACGTTCTTAAAGTCGATGTGGGCAGATAGGCCCAATTCTTCTTCGCCTGAATAAAAAAAATGTAGCTTTAAGATAAAAAAATTGTTTAATGGACTCATTTATGTGTTATATGGACAGTTTGTTAAAAGTAGTAATTAACTCTGTAAACAGAAGAATCTAATAATATGAGAGTTAAAAAATATCAACCTGGTATATGTTATTACTTAATTTTATGAATTAAAATGTCAGACAACTGCCACTTTCAAAAATATATGCTTTAACAGAGTATACTACTTATATTCAGTAATAACTTTGTAACTTTTGTAATGATATACTGGTATCAGATTTAGGGTTCAGAACCGGGACTCGAAATTATTAATTCCCGGTTCTTTCGGTACTTTCGGGACTCGGTAATAATAATTAAAAACATATTTTTGTTACGTGTGAAAGACTTGATACTTTCTAGCGGTCGAAATCAAACTTTTCTAAATAAATAGTGATGCTATCTCTTGCTGTTCTTACTTCTGAAGTTATTTTGAAGTTTCTATAATGTTTATTAGCAATAATTGAAGTTTAAATATTTTATTTTAATATTTAGTATAATATTGCTGAATGTATTAGTTATGTTTTTATTAGTGATGGGATAACTCGAGCGAAAATTCGCTCGAGTACTCGATTATTGAAATAACCGACATCGCTCGATTATGAACGAGCTATGTAAGTGACGAGTACCAAGCGACGAACGCAAGCGATCCTAGAATGAAATAAATTGAAACCCGATTTTAATGTCACCTACTCGATTAAAAGGGTGCGTCTCAAAAGTGGCTCACACCCATTACTTTTTTATTTTTTTAGATAAAAAAATGAGATTTGGTACGTTAGTATATGACATAAATTAGGATTGATTGACGTATTCAATTGTTTTCTGTCACTTCCTGTTTCACCGGAAATGACTACAATTTTTGATTTTTAAATGGCCCCGCGGTATTTTTTTACTTTATTCGATAGAAAATGACATTCTAAATATAATGACGTATCATATGTCAACTTTTGACATATTCGCTTAAAAACAAATAGTATATTAAATTTCAATCTAGAGTGCCATGGCTGTGTTAAAAACACTAATTTTTAATCAAGGAGCCTTGGAAAAATACATTTGATCGTCTAATGTTTTTAGTGTCTTGCCCTGGCCGGTTAAAAGATGCCCAAATCGTATTTTTGATCATATTTCAATTTTTTTCAAATGGAACGAGGGTGGATCATTAGCATATTTCGAAAAAGAATTTTTTTACGAATAATTTGATACCACACACTTGGTACTTCGAGTCAAATTGTCGTTATCAACCGCATGTTACAATTTCAAATAAACCATATGCGAAAATCAAAACTTGACATGTGATATGTCATTCTACTCAGAGTGTCATTTTCTACCGAATAAAGTAAAAAAATACCGAGGGTGCGATTTAAAAATCAAAAGTTGCAGACAATTGAATATGTCAATCAATCCTAATTTATGTCATATACTAACATACCAAATCTCGTTTTATCTGAAAAAAAAAATTATAGGGGTGATCCATTTTTGAGACGCACCCGGTATATTTATCCGTTGCGTATCTGAGAGACAAAATTTTACGACCTACATCGACAATGCTTCGAAATAAACTAAATCAGGTGATCAAGCGAATTGCTCGCCGCTTTCTACTTGCCGTTCATTACCGATAGAATATGTGCCCTGCGCACGCAGCTTACTGCTTGGCGCTTGGCGTTAACGGATACTTACAGCATGCGACGGACAAAAAACCGTATTTTTAAATTTCGTTCGAGTGATCACTCGGTTATTGCAATCGCTTGATACTCGAGTACTCGATTATTGAAATTAATCGGTTTTTCCCATCACTAGTTTTTAATATAATTAAAAATGTTAGGTTTTTTTTCTTATTTAGTTTAGGTTTCGAGGTTGGTTGATGTTTGATGTAATTTCTAAGCTACCTATGTGTTTTCTTTTTTCGCTTGTGTCCATTATTTGTATTCATGTTTAATAATTTGATATTATTTTCATTTGAAACTCAATTTTTTACCGCTTTTACTTTTGAGAACCATCTCTTGCTTGCTAATTGATGAACTCCACAACCGTTCAACGAAAATATTTTAGTACGATTCTGGAAACTCTAATTAATACTACTAATTAGGGTTCAGATCTTTAAGCCATCACAGAACCGGGCCTCGTTAACAATAATTAAAAAATATACTTCTTTGATACTTTCTAGAGGTCGAAATCAAACTCTTCTAATAATGATGCTATTTATTATTGTTCTTACTTCTTTTCTCTTTTGAAGTTTCTATAATATTTATTATGTTATGTTTTAATAGATATTTCATTTTTAATTCAATATTTTAGGGCTTTTGTCTCAAATTCAGTTAAGTTGGTGTTCATATTTGTGTTCATGTTATTTTTTTCATGACTGATTATTTAATAATTTGATATTATTTTCTTTAAGATTCTCAATTTTTTATCCATTTTACTTTGAAAAACCATCCCTTGCTTTCTGATTGAAGAACTGCACCATTGAACAAAAATTAGTCAGTACCGAAAGTATCGAAAAAAATTGGCGCCGGGAGGCACGTATAGCCGCCCATACTAAAATATGTTAATATCTCGAAAACTGCAACTTTGACTGATTTTGATGTTATTACAAATTTTGTTGCAAATATTATTCCTAATCTTAATTTGAAAACCGCGTTTCGCTAGCTACTGTAATTTTGAAGTTACGATTTTTTTAAATTTTTAACCCCCTCCCATACCCCCTTACCAACCCCCCAGCCCCACCAAAAACTAATGGCCAGATTCTCGGGTGCCACAGTATTTTTGTGCCAAATTTGGTTAAAATCGGTTCAGCGGTTTTTGAGTTATTGTGTTACAGACGGACAGACAGACACCATGAAAATATTTTGTATTTAATAACTCATTTTGAGTGAAATTAAAAAACTTTTTTGCTGATCTTAATAGCCTACCATACCTATTGGTATGGTCGGCTAAAAACGGGAAATCCCGGTCCCTAAGAAGCCCGGTACCAAAATTCCCGGTTCCGAAAAACAGCTCCGGTACCGGAAACCCTAATCAGATTCTAATATACCAATTTCAGTTATAAAAGAAATAGAGATATCATTGGATAACTATAATTTTAGGTATTAAATGTATGCAAACTTACCTGGGAAGAGCTGTCTGACGGATATAGCAGGATTGGAGATGAGATTGCTCGGAGGTTTACTCCACAACTCCTGCTCGTTATCCGCCGAATAGTTTGGTTTCAACGATATAGACGGATTCTGTCCCAACTTTTGCGCAGCCAAATCATTGTATTTGTTTATGTCGTATTTCAACTTCCCGCCTCTTGATATCTCCAAAGAATTACCGATCTAAAACAAGTATTCAGTAATATACCGTGCTGGCAACTCTTACTTTTGGGTCGGTATTTACATGTGTGCAAGTAAATCGCATAGGGATCTTATTAAGTCGGAGTGAGAGAAATGTGACGGTGTGCTGTTGCAGCGTTGCCACATTTCTCCGCTAGGCTTTTCCCTATCAAGTAAAGCAAAAGCACGATCGCAAACCGCTTATTTTCAAAAGGCTTTGTTTTCGAAAAGATAACTAGATAAAATCATTAGATATGTTTGTGAGCATCTGAAATGGAATTATAAGGATATCGTTAGGGTGTCCATTTTTTTAAAATGAGAAAACGTCAGTAATCGCGATCAATTTTTTAACATACAACACACGAAACTAGATATTGAAACTTTTTTTTATTTTGAAGTTCGGATGTTTTACAAGATAAGAAAGATTTGATAGGCTTGTTTTTTTTCCATTCAAAAATTTCAAAAAACCCATCCATTTACTTTTATTGCATTGCAATTTTCAGCAATCGTGTACCTTTTTTATTTATCAAGATTTTCACATACTGTCTGTGAAGAAAATATAGCAGAAATAATAAGAAAGTTTTTGAAAAAACTACAATCAATTATTTCTAAAAGATTTCGAGATAACGATTTTTGAAGTTCTAATAGCGCGCCCACTGTCAAACACCAACTCAATTCCACTTATTTTTACCAAAAGTGCAAGTGTTTGTTTCTAACTTGCACTTAAGAATTTACAAGCTATAGGGAAAATTACAATGCCCCGTTAATAAATAAACAAAAAAAGTATCACGAGATTTAATTAAATCGTGAAGCTGAACGCATGATGTACATTCTTCCCTGGAATTTTAACCACTCATTGGGTTTGGGTCGACCGGTCGACCGTGACGAATCTGCTATATACTCTTCCACGTCTCTTAGCAATGTGCACAGTTTCTAGGTTTATTTCATACGTTTGGCAACGTTTTTACTGTTCTCTCTTTGTTCAGTACATAATAAACGCATTGTACTCTTCTTACATATGAAAATCTCGACCCAAAACTAACCTTTGCCAGCCCTTAGTATGCGTTCGTTCTATAAATGTTTGCAAAATAAACCACTAATTCACCACAATACACTAAAATACTTTACTTTTAACAGTGGACGCGCGTTTCGCTAATCATGTTAGCATCATGAACAGATGATTAAATCTGGTTTTAGTCATCATTAATTAAGAATTAGTGTTTTATTTTGCTGCTGTAATACCAAAGGTTCCAACCCAAAACTAAGTAATTATAAGCACTTACCGATTCCATTCTAGGCGTACTCTTCGACAAACCAATAAATTTCTTGGAGTAGTCTTTCTTACTTTCGTTATCGCTAGGACACTCCATAGCTATCGCCGGAATAAGGGTGTTGTAATCAATGCTTGAATATTCATCTCCTTCCTCTGATTGATTGTCATTTGGAATATTTTTACCATCTGCGCGATCGCTAGACCTGCAAATTCGTTTTTAAGTCAGTTAAGAGTTAATTCAAAACTGACAGTTATAAACTTACCCTTCTTCTGTATCTTCTCTCTCATCTCTGTCTTCTTGGCCTTCTTTCCCACTATTACTTGTTTCGTTTGAAGAATTGCGCGTCCTTTTTTTCCGTTTACCGGACTCTTTATCACTTTCTTTTTTCTCACTATTTTTTTCACCTTTGCTCGGTACTACAATGGGTTCTTCAGCTGCAGCTGCGTCCATTGGAACAATATCATTAAAATGTAACAGTCTGAAACATAATAAAAATACATTTTTACTAAAGATTAAACAAGTTAGTAGGTTTTTCATCACTTAAATGGTACTATTGAAAATAGTCAAAGAGAAAAAAAATAAAAGCCTTTGCCACTTACCTTTTCTTATATTCTGTATAAAAGTTAACACTATTTTCTGCCCTCTCCTCTGGGTCTTTCAAGATTATCAATGCAAAACATTTACATAACTTACATACTACTGGTTTGTCTGATAAATAGATAGGAATACCTGAAACAAATAATTTTACATCAGGTATTAACAAAAGAAAAACACTAATTTACCACAATACACCAAAACACTTTACTTTTAATATTGGCTGCGCGTTTCTCTAACAGATAGTAGAATCATCAGCAGAAAATTAAATCTGTTGAGTAGCAGATGATTAAAACTCCTGAGTTTTAATTATTTGCTGAAGGTGCATGGTTAGAGTACGGTTAGAGAACGGCGTGCCTTGTGTTAAAAGTAATATATATATAAAAAAGTAGAGAGTGTTTTATTTCAAATAAGCAAATTATCAGCCATTTCCGTTTAAATCGGAAGTTCCAGAAAATTGATCCAAAAATATTTTAGAATGAAAGGGCACCTGGAAATATTGAAACATTCAAATTTTTCTAAAAAACGTTTAATAAACCAGTTGCTTGAAAAACACTGTAAACCGGGTGCGTCTCAAAAGTGGCTCACCCCTATAACTTTTTTATTTTTTCAGATAAAAAAACGAGATTTGGTATGTTAGTATATGACATAAATTAGGATTAATTGACGTATTCAATTGTTTTCGGTCACTTCCTGTTTCACCGGAAATGACTACTACTTTTGATTTTTAAATGGCACCTCTGTATTTTTTTACTTTATTCGATAATATATATAAATAACACTCTGAATAGAATGACATATCATATGTCAACTTTTGACATTTTCCCATATGGTTTATTTGAAATTATAACTTGCGGTTCGTAATCGAAAATTTGACTCGAAATATCAAGTGTATGGGTATCAAATTATTCGAAAAAAAATGCCTTTTCCAAATATGCTAATGAGCCACCCTCGTTCCATTTGAAAAAATTATGATATGATTAAAAATACGATTTGAGCATTTTCTAACTGGCCGGAACAAGAAACTAAAACCGTTAGATGATCAAATCTATTTTTTAAGGCTCCTTGATTAAGAATTTGTGTTTTTAGCATACCCATGGCACTCTAGATTGAATTTTAAAATACGATTTTTTATTAAGCGAGAATCTCAAAAGTTGACATATGATATGTCATTCTATTCAGTCATTTTCTATCGAATATAGTAAAAAAAATACCGAGGGTGCTATCACAAAATCAAAAGTTGTAGACAAAGTTGCTGTCAGTCATTTCCGGTGAAACAGGAAGTGACCAAAAACAATTGAATACGTTAATCAGTCCTAATTTATGTCATATACTAACATACCAAATCTCGTTTCTTTATCTGAAAAAATAAAAAAAGTTATAGGGGTGAGCCCGTTTTGAGACGCACCCGGTATAGACTGTCCAACAAGCTAGGGAAAATTTCGACAGACGATATACAAGGGTTGTCTTTTATATTTTGCATATACAGTATGTCCCCAGATTGGGTTTACAAGAGAAAAAACCTTTTTATTATTGACATTTTGAGAAAAATGTATTCTTCATAAAATTTTTGCTTGTCCTAAAATGGCTAATCCGTTTATATTTTTCGAAATTTCCATACCGTTTCAGAGAAAATTAAGAAAAACGTGAAAATAGTGTTGAATTTTTTTAAGTCCTAAAAATCAAAAGGCGTTTCTATGGTAATATCAATTCGATTTCATTCTTTGATAGATGGTTACAGAGATAGTTATTATTAATTTTGATTAATGTCATATTCATACATGATACAAAGAAAACAAGGTATGATCGATAGCGGCTCCAATTCCGTTCAGTTTGCGCATATCACCTGTGACGTCATACGCCATACAAAAAAATATCCATTTATTGTTCAAAATTGCCAGTAATAAAAAAAGACCTAAAAAAGGGAACCAGCTTTCTTGAAATTCTCGATTTTCCGACGTTGCTAGATCCTGTACAATTATATTTTTATTAGGGTTAGATTAAATTTGTCAAAAAAGTCTCAAAACGTCCGTTATCGTACGATATTTCTCCGTTGACGTGCTTGAGTATCAAATCTACAATTTATTTAAAATTAAGCTTTAAACACTTTAAATTACACAAACTTTAAATTAACTAAAGATGGCATTTAATTTTGACATTTGATATATGTTGACAGGCGCCTACTATGTTTCTATATGCAAAATATAAACGACAACACTCGTATAAATAATGACAGAAAATAGAATTTATCTCTGAATTAAAATGAGATACAATTGTCACTGTCATGGATCCTGTCATTGGACAGACTATATTTTTAGTAGATACTAGGTATTTGATCTTTATTGGTTTTTGATATTTTTTGACTAAATCCGTTTTTTATTACTATCTACAAATAGATACTTACCATCATCTTTCAAAGCCTCGTTGAGTTCCTTAACCTCCGGCCCCAAATAATGTATGTGATTCCTGGCCAAGCGCCTCTTGCACATGGCGCACACCATCAAATGTTCTAAGGCAGTGAAGTGCTCATCACAAAGCGGAATCGAATGCAGACCGGGATTGTCCAGATCGATATTAATCTGTAACGACGAAATAGATACATTTAAACAAATACATCTACGCATACGTACGTTGAATTGTGATCCCCTTACCGCTTGGCAGATACTTTTTCGCATTTTAATGATCCACTTGCGACGTAGGATATTGTTGGAGACGTTGTTACAGCCGAGCACGTGACAATGGTTCTGTCTGGGTCCGGGCGCGACCAAAGAGTTTCGTTTTAAGGATTTGTTTATGTAAGAGGGCGAATTTGATTTGCGATCCACGTGTCTGTAGCAGGCGTCACATAAGCACGAATCTCTGGTTAAGTGTTTTTCACCTTAAAAATAAAAAGGTTATTTAGGATTAGGTATATTTTAAGTTACTATCTAGAAAGTTGATTATGTTTAAACATTATTTATTTATCGACAATGTTGTTGCCTGAATTCCATCCATACAATAATATAACTTATGAAATTTACACTTTAATATTTTTCAGAATTTTTTGACGTGATATCAACAAAAAAGTATCTTAATATGTGACCTATGTATATTATGTACAACCATTGACTAACGTTACGTCAAGTATCTCCGTATTCCCCCTAAAACAGCCTCTACACTATGCGGAGAACTCTTCGAAACAGGCCTTATTTCGTCGCTCAACTTTGTCGTATTTCGATTTATTTCCAGTTGTCTTGACCCACTTCGGTTTACCTCGATCTACTTTCGATTCTTAAAAGCGACTGAAAACTACTCGTGAGGAAGGCGGGGGGTATTTTTTGGCGTATTTTGTTTTTTGTTTCGTTTTGACCTATTTCCAAAACGTGGCGGTATCTGTACCCGAGGCAAAAGATTTTTTTTACCGTTAGCAAAAACAACACGTAAAAACAAACAGAACGTCAACGGTTTCTTGTAGACGTATCTGTTTTAAAAAAAGTAAAGTGTTCTCGAATAATTAAATTTAAATATTTTAAATAGTTTTTTCTTTATTCTTTGTTTTTTTTTGCTTCCGACGACGGAAAGAGATAAACTTTCCGAGACGTTAAGCAATTTTTTCTTTGTTAGGCAAATTTGTATAACTGTAAACATAAGTTCTGACAAGCAGTGTCCGTTTAGGTTTAACGCAGAAGTGTTTACAAAAAATAACTATTTTATTTTGTAGATTTCCTTGCAGTGCAGTGGCGAAATACCCATAAAGGATTTTCTAAATATTCTTGTGTAACCTAGAGGAATAGCCAATTTAATCTACCATCGGTAACTGTTTTCTAAATACACTGTTTCTGATTTTTCATACCAGTTTAATATAGTGGTATTACATTACACTCCATTACAAATTAGCAAAATTTATTCATACTCTATGTTTACTTATTTTTCTGAAGCCACAACTACGTTTGACCTTGATTGCTTCGTGCTATTTCCAGAAATGTTTTGCGAAATGTTTTACGAAATATTTCCAAAAATATTTCGTAAAAAAAAGTAAAGTAAATATTTCAGTTAATGTCTCCTTTTTGCTGCCTGGGCTAATCTGGACGGGGCCTACTTTGTTTACGCGGAATTCGAACCGGGTGCTCGGCCATATCATGGTCAATGGCCTACCGACTTAGGAAGTGTCTAAATCAACTCTGACTCACGAGATATCCGATCTCATCCGGCCTGGAACCGGCGTGAATGAGCAGTGTGTATCAATAGATTTTACACTTTTCCCTTGGACAACAGCACGATACAGAGTTTCAAACCGGTCACCCGTCCATCCACCAGTATCCCCTTACGTCGCTTATCTTCGGTGTTCTAATGGGAACCGGTGTTTCAACGTAGCTAGACCGTTGCCCTATTTCGTAAAACATTCCGGGGATAGTGTAGAGGCTGTTTAATAATTTAGCAGTCTTTTGCCGTGCTTTAACTATCTATTATAGAACAGGTATGTAACTAACTTTTTTATAAACTTCATTAAAAAGATAATGAACTATTCAAAAAGAAGATTAACTTACTTGCAAGAATTTTATTTTGTCTTTCAGTGCTCTTCATTTGAGCAATGTGACAGGGCGTGTCAAACAGTCCAAACTTGCCGAAACAGTACGAACATTCGTCCTTGCAAAGCCTGCCCGGATGGATGCTGAAAGAACTCGCCTTTTCCGGTATAACCAACGATTTTTCCGGATCAGATTTATCGGTTGGTGGCGGTTCACCGTCCGAAGTGTGTTCACTACTTCCATCTTTATGAAAGAAAAATATAATTTCAAAATTATTTAAAATAATTGGATAATGAGTGTATAGCACGTCCGGTGAGAGACTACGTGACCTTTTGAAAAGACTACGTCGTTTTAATTAAAAAATATATGTTTTTTGTTATATTTAGAATGTCATATGTTGAAATGGTATAGGCTTGGTGCATCAAAGTTGATTTTAAAAATTTCGACAGCAGCGCTCGTTACGGCAGAAATCAGAAGCTTTCGACTCACTTGAATTCACGCAGTCCTGATTACATTTCATGTTGATCGCATTAAAATATGTAATGTTAAAAAATAAACAAAGTCATCCTACTCTGGGTGCCTGCTCACCAAAGGATAGAAGGCAATGAAAAAGCAAATTATCTAGCTAGAAAAGCAGCGAACACTCCACTAACTGGACCAGAACCGTTCTGATTTCCAAGCGGAAACCAACTAAAGGCGGAACTCAAGAACTTGGGAGACTCCATCCGTAACCTGGAATGAGAATCTTGCAACGGTCCAAGACACTCGAAGAAGTTTCTGAGGGCTTACGACCAAGAAAAATCAAAGATCTTCTTGGATTTAAATAAGAACAATCTTCGGATTGTCACGGGGTTTTTAACAGGACACTGTCTCCTCAATGAACACCTCAGTAGACTGAAACTAAGAAGAAACGGCAAATGCAGATTCTGTGGGGAAAATGGGGAAATACCAGAACACCTCATCACTGAGTGCGCCGAGACGACAACCATTCGTGCCATGAACTTTGGTACGACTGATATTGGAGATGGAGAACTACCCTCTGTAAAACCGTGCCAGATACTGGCTTTTGTCAAAGCTCTGGGACTGTATGATGAGTTATAACTCAGGAAAGGGGGACAATAGATCTGTAAGGTCACAGTGATTAACCCCCCTCCCACTCATTCTAAATTCCAAATGTTAAAATCGTGGCTTTGTCATAATATTTAAGTATAATAGTTTTTACTAAACGTTCTCTAACCCAGTGTGAGTACATATTATCAAAGCAAACCTTTGAAGGAGGGTAAAAGGACAATAACTCACAATCTTTAAGTTGTTTAATTTAAAAAAATTTAATGCGTAAAAATGGCCCCCCTTGCTTTTTTAAGCATTAAATTTTTTAAATTAAACAATTTAAAGATTGTGAGTTATTGTCCTTTTACCCTCCTTCAAAGGTTTGCTTTGATAATAGTTTTTACTAGCGCTGTTATTGAAACTATAAACCACTCAGGTACGAGGTTTGTGTGATGTAACGCAGTTCCGGGTAGTAAAAATTAAATGAAAAAGAACCCAAACTGGGCGTCGGGTTGTGTTTTAAAAATTTCAAATATCAATAAAATTTCCGAAAAAAATGTTAACACGCAAAGAAGAGCGTAATTACGTGGTTCTTTGGTGCAATACCATTCAATAATTCAACTCTACCGGATATTCAACTCTCCCGAAACAACATTTTATAGCTTTACAGCTTTTCACACCGATTTGATCAAAAGCAAATATGGATTCAAGCAGTTCGACGAAAGAAGTGAGTACAACAAAGTACCCATTACATAATCAAAAAATTAAATAGAGAGGCTTGTTCCAACCCGCCGCAGAACCGTCACCGAACGATCACGCTCGTGCGCAGTAATTCAAATGTGTTCCAATCGAGATTTGACGGTTATCGGACGATCCTATTTGCGTACCAACCTACCGTGGGATCGTTTAGTTACGATTTCAGAACGGTAATTTCGGTACATGGTCCAAAGAAAACTGTTTGGGTTGACTTGCGCATTAAAGCATATTGGCAGGGATTATCGATTTTTAACAGCTGATTCTGGTCCGGCGTCCGGCTGTTGCTTCTGTCTTGGTTATTTTATACGAATTCGAATACGTGTGCGTTATACTTTTGCTTGTGAGTTTGTATGGAGTAAATGGTTCGGAAATTTTAAATTGTATACTTTCATAATTGTCTATAGATAATAATTAAGGATGAGCGACGATGGTATGACTGATATCCTTACCTCCACTTCAGTTAGTGACAATTTGGAGTTGCTGTCTTGTGAAAGGGTGAAAAATGAACAATATTTAGGTAAGCTTTAATCGTATTTTCCTGTTTCCTCGAACAAAAACAAAAAACCGATTGATACACGCACGCTTGACACTTTTGACAGTTCCGAAAACAATCCACAAAGCGTTCCAACGTTGATACTTTTTGCACCGTCACGAAACTATTCGAAGTCCGCGCATGCTAACAAAGTGCAAGAAAACCGATTCGAGTACGATTTCGAAACGATCGTGAAATGCTGGTTGGAACAAACAGATTATGAGGATAAAATATAAATTAATCAATATTAGTAGTATACTTCTTTTTAATCAACTAGTGCTATTTTTCTACGAATGTCTTCTAAAATTGTAATTTTGTACCTTTAAAAAATTTCGTTATAGCCCAAATAGCCCCAGTTATGTCCCAGCAGCAAAACCGGTGTTTAAAACTATGCTCGCTACCGTACTTCAACTCATCTAAAAGGTTTTCTTACCTTGAATAATCAATTATAATACAAGTTAGACCTTCTGAAGATATCAAAATATTTACTTTTTTATTTTTATGTTTAGAATTTTCACAAATTATACTTTCTAACATTTTTAGAATACTTATATAACAAATTTTTCGTGTATTCCTTATTTAAATCCGTGTATTTGATTCGTCCGCTGTTTACAGTATTATCCGATGGTGGCAGCACCGACGGAGAATATACCAAGCTTATACCCTCTCACCGCACAGACTATACCTTAAAATATATGTTTAAATTTGGGCATTTCAAGCATTACCCAAGAAATCCATCACCTGATTAGAATGATACAAGCTTTTATATCCGTGTGCCATTAATTAATTTAATAAATTAAATAATACCTAAATACTTAAAATGTAATTGCTATAGTAAAAGAGAAAGATAAACCATAGTTTATTTTTATGTTTTCTTTTATTTTTTAAATATAACGAAATATAAGTTCCACACAGTCGAAAAAAGAAACCGCGCCGCGGTAGGCTTGGAAATGAAGATCGCTGTTCTACAGGGTGGTTTGAATTGTATTCGGGAAACTTCGGCAACATCTTGTGCAGATATACAGAGTGCAGCATTTACCTTTGATTTTTTTTCAAATAATTTCTGAACTAACGTCGATATTTGTACTTGTAGGGGGCGCCACCTACATGTTTTTTTAACTGTTTTGAGAAGTAATAACTTTGTGGCCGTACCTGTATAAAATCACTGAGTGACTATTTTTTTAAGTTAATCATAATTTTTTCTAGATAAAATACGATAAAACAGTTTCTGTTGGATCTTTGGCACAAAAACATTTCAAATTTTTATTTCAGACTAATATCTATCCAGTCAACATGTATAATATATTGACTTTTTCGATTCCAAATATCTTGAGAACCATTACTCGTAGCGATTTTTACTATGAGACCTTTTTTATGTAAAAAATTACGGATAACAACGTAGTGTATACAGGTATGGACAAAAAAGTATTACTCTTCAAAATAGCTAATTTTTTTTAGCTATTTTAAAGAATAATAAATTTTTCATGACTAACTTAAAAAAGTAGTCACTCAGTAGTTTTATATTAGGTACGGACACAAAGTTATTATATACTTCTCAAAACAGTTAAAAAAGTGCATACAGTATGTAGGTGGCGCCACCTACAAATAGGAGTGATATTGACATCATAATCATATCAAAAAATACCCAGATACCAATTTTCATCCAAATCTTTAGTCCAAATCGACATTAGGTCAGAAATTATTTGAAAAAAAAATCGAAATAAAAATGAAACTTCTACATCCTGTATCTCTTAAACGGAGCATTTTAGAAAATAAATTTATAAGGACTTTTTTACTTATTTTTATCTGCAGAATATACTGCCGTAGCTTCTCCAATATAATTATACGTACCACCCTGTTCCAGGCCAATTTGACGCATTTTTTTCGATCATACAGTACCTACTTTAAATATGAGAAAATATGAAGTACGTATATCATAATAATGTTAACCTTATGTTTGAAAAAATTGAAGAAAACTTTAAATTTTGTAAATATTCAAAGCAATATACTGAATTTTTCCACTGACGAATGAACTTGTTTCTAAAAAATTCTAACTAATTGAAATTATATTTATTCCTAGATATTTATAGAAGCTTGTAGAAATAAATCAGTTATAAAGATTTCTTGAAAGAGTACAAGGTTTAAATTGAAAAGAAATTTAGTTTGTAAAAATATTACTTATAAAAAAAAGAAAAAATAATGAAAAAAGTACTTAAATATTAATAACATATAAAATTGAAAATAAATTGATTAATTTATAAATAAAAGAATATTATGTTAAGATTATTTTAGCTAAATCTGTCATCCAGTAAAAGTACCCATATTTACATATTGTTAACACCTCTTATGCCATTTTACTATCAAAATTAGAATAAAAAGAACTAACTGTACTCAGATTTTAACTACGACAGAATTATAATAATTAAATTATTAATAATGTTATATAGCTGTGTTGGTAATCACAGCCTATTCAGTACCAGCTAACCAACATATAGTCCTTTACATTAAAATGTGTCGTTTGTATTATGTAATTATATTCTGAGCTCCATTAAGGCTGTGTTAAGGCATATACGTGAAGCTGGATAGTTGCGCACTGAATAAGCTATGTTTGTAATGTATAAAATATTTTGAGCCCTAAACCTGAATAATTACCCATGTTAGATCGATTAGAATAATGTGATTTTCGATGCGCACCAGCTGTATCAGAAGAATCTTTGTTGTGTTTCCATGAAGTGGAAGCACCCTGCAATAAAAAAATACAAGACATAAATATCGTTATCTGTACAGGGTGGGTCAAATTCGACGCTTTTAAATGGAAACACCCTTTTCTATAGGAGATAGACAAAAACTAATATCGGTATCTGGAGCTCAATTTTTGTCAAAAACATGATGGTGAAAACCGCATATCGATATCTGTTACCGTTTCGGAGTTACGGGGTGTTTTTCAAAAATATGCATTTTTAATAAATTGCTGTAACTTTTTTGCTATGGAAAATTTTGTATTTTTATGAAAACATTTCCAAAGTACCTTTTTACGTAGAATTTAATGGTTTAAGAATACTTTTTTTAATTAATAATTTAAGAATTATCAACAGAAAATTTGATTTTTTATATGGGACACCCTGTATATTTTTAATTAACTGTAAAGAATTTAAAATTACCTTTCCAAAAATATAACACACTTGTTATTTTACTCAATTCCTCTTCGAGATATAGAGTATATAAAAATTTGCCCGCTTTAAATGAGTAGGATTTGAACGGCACTGGCTATAATGCAAAAAATTCAAGCTGTGAGCATGAAAATAATATTTGTTATGAGAGATGCAGAATTTTATAACAATTTAAAATATATTTAACCAACATCAACACATTCAAACTATATCTAATAACAATAAAAATAAATAATAGCAAACCAAGACATGAGATTTTGCTACAGGTGTTCGACATATCGACCGTCTTCTGTTATGGACAGACGGGGCAGTTTTTGAACATTTCTCGCGGAATTCATTAACTCAGTGGGGGTGAAAGATACCCTCTTATAACTGCTAAGTATTTCTAATTCTTGTCTAGATTATACGGAATAAGGAACCTTTATTCTTCCGCAAATATATCCATAGGATTAGATCCATGGGAAGTCAGGCGCCCTCGACGGCCAAAGTTTGGGATCTTGGTTAGTTATTCAATTATTCTTGAAATTGGCTGCAAATATTTGCTGATAACTTCAGCGTTCAGAGTCGTCTTGCTGGAAAAATATGTTTTCGAGTTCCATTAAGGGCATATCATCAATAAGGGATCCAAAGCCTACTAGTTAAAAGTGGCGAACTTTTAAAATTCTGTATTTCGAAGGGGATTATAACAAAATATCAAGTGTGCTATATTTTTGGAAAGGTAATTTTAAATTCTTTACAGTTAATTAGAAATATAGAGGGTGTACCAAAGAAAAAATCAATTTTTCTGTTGATAACTCTTAAATTATTAATTTAAAAAAAATTATTCTTAAACCATTAAATTCTACGTAAAAAGGTGCTTTGGAAATTTTTTCACAAAAATACAAAATTTTCCATAGCAAAAAAGTTACAGCGATTTATTAAAAATGCACATTTTTGAAAAACACCCCGTAACTCCGAAACGGTAAAAGATATTAATGTAGCGGTTTTCACCATCATGTTTTTGATGAAATTTGAGCTCCAGACACCGATATTAGTTTTCGTCTATCTCCTATAGAAAAGGGTGTTTCCATTTAAAAGCGTCGAATTTGACCCACCCTGTACATACAGGATCGCTAAAAAGTAATAAAAAATGGAGGGTATTACTCAGATATTGCTCTTGGTATACGAAAAAATATTTAGGCATCCATTATGCCAGAAAGTTCTCTTTGTTATTCTGACAATACTGTATCAGTTATATTTGTCTTATCTGAAGAAAAATTACAACAAATGTGTTTTACTAAGATGTCTGATACTTGTTTTCTGTTAAAAGGAAATGCAAAATATTTGATTTGATCAATAATTAATCAAAATGAAATATGCTTTTATATTATTCTCACCTCTTTCATAATCTTGTATCCATCTTCGGCAGCATTAGCGTCATCTCCTTTGCTTTTATGTTTCTGCAACGTCATTTTCAACGAGTTCTTGCCTTTCTTTTTGTTAATTTTTATCACAGTTTTCAGAGTTCCTGTATAATTATCGTTTTTAGTGTTTGAAGTGGAGGCCTTCTCTTTGGACTTTTGTATCTTCGCTTCTTTTGCTCTTTGTAGACCGAGAGCCTGAAATTGCAACAAATTAAAGAGATTGCACTGTATATAATAAAATTGAATTAGAGACTTTATTAAAAACTTATCGGAACTTGTTAAAACTTCAAAATAAATTTTGCAAAAAATAACTACACTATATTTGATATCAATTAAACTTTTAGTTACGTAATCGAGGGCGCGATTTTTAAATTCATTGTTGCCAACCATGGATATATTCGGCGCCGGGCTGACTAACTGGAATTTAAATTTCGCGCCGGGGATTCAGGTGGTAGCTCTGCTTAAAAAATGTCAAGTTACCACATTTACTTATTTATTTCCTGATATTGTCATTCATTTTGACACTTTAGTTTTGTATTACGAGTTTTGGTTTAAATAAATAGTGTTGTGATACTTTAAGCTTAAGAATGTTTACTAGCAGACCTTGCAGTCGAACATTGCTCATTTTAGAACCTCTTTTAGTGCGAAGTGTACAAGATAACTTAATAGCCATAAAAAGTCATGGCAACTTTATTAGAATATTTTGAACGGTATGAAGTAATGGTCCTTTATGTCCCTTAAGTGATGTTAAGAAGGTGAGTTTTGTTGATGTAAATAATAACTGTTTATATATTTATAATTAATTTATTTGTTTCCTAAAATATTTTGATTAAAAGAAAATATGTAAAAGTGGGCAACGCTGTGCCGGTCAAGCTTAATCACGTGACTAAAAGTTTATTTGATATGAACTATAGTTGATATTTGCCAATCTAATATAACGTGTTTCTAGCAACTATTGCCAACAGTTTAAGTATAGTATTAGCGTAAAGAAAAACTATTAAAGGCAGGATGACACGGTCAAAGTTACTTGGTGCACGGCAATCTAACCTAACCCATATAACTGTACTTATAATGCTGCGCGCGTCTCACTTGTACGCTGCTTGTGTAGTATTGACTGTTTGATCAAAGTCGAGTTGGAAGGCTTTTTAACATCAAAGTAAGTAGACTTCCTTCCAACTTACTTGGCTGCTACGAAGCCGTTCAACACGACTTTGACAAAAACGGTTGATATCATCACAGATTATACAGATTATAAACTTTGTTTTTTCTTTATTGTTTTTATTTTTGGTTCCAATTTTCGGAATCGGGCACTAGTTAGGTTACTAGTTTGCGCACATAGCACGCCCACTTATGGCCTCTAAAATTGTGCACAGCGCCTGACCGGCACAGATATTAGAGAGATATCGGAAAACCGAATAGCGTCTTGCAGTATTTACGCGTACCTTAACACCCGCTAATCGTTACCGCCTGACGTAATTTGCGGATCAATTACACCAAGCGCTATTTCTAAATAACGTTTAAAAATTGCTTAAATGGGCATGTGCGGGTATTTGACAACCGGGGCCGGCCGGCGAGATCTTTTATTTTAGGTCATGTTTGAATTGTTTTGAATTATTACTTTAGTTTTATTAGGTAATTTGATATTTAAGTAGCTGGGATTAGTTTTAATTAAATAAATATGGCCTAAAATTCCACCTCTTCCAATATTAAAGAACCTATAAGAGGCTTAGGTTTACAGCAGATGACGACTTAGCCCTTCTAAGAGAATTTGTTGCTTGTTACCCTAAACCCACTGGCAGACGTTGAACAATAAAGCACTGTAGCCCTTTAGTTTTAAAATACCTAGTAAACAAAACAATTTCAAAGTTTTAAATTCAAAGTTAGGTTAAGTTTAAATAGCGGATGCGACGCGAACAGAATTCTTTCCTATCCGATAACTATAAACGAAGAGAGTTAATACCTCCTCACGTAAAGGAAATAACACCTGGCCTTATTAACGTCCATGCCCGCTATTCAGTTTAGCGATATCTCTCTATTACGCTGTTTATTGTTATTTTACGCGAGTTTATTTTTGCGCACAGGAAATTTTACTCATTTGCACATCGTCATAAAAAATAATTTTCGTACCACGAATTAGGGATAAGATTTTTATCTGTATACATATAGTATACCTAATCTGTGATATCATACAAACAGCGTAAAAGTAAAGTAGATTAAATGAAGTACAACCAGGCTTAGCGAAAAAAAAACATTAAACATTGAAGAAATTACACTTAAGAGTATTTCTACTAATAAGTGTAAATTAGGAACTGTTAGCACCTAACGATAATCAAAATAAAGCAGAAATGATTTGACTAACTTACGTTCAAAATATTTTCTTTTTGTGCCAATTCCTCCGGAGATTCTATTGCAACTTCTCTATCATCTACGTCTTTATTTTCAATTTCAGTACGTTCAATATCACATTCGTTTTCAGTCATTTTTGCTCCCTCCAGCTGCTCAACTTGCACCAAGTCCGTATTTGTTACATTTTCATTATTTACCGTATCATCTACTGTATTATCCACTAATTCTTCGTTAACGTCGGCTTCCACAGCCTTTTCCACTGCCTGCTCCACTTCTTTTTCTTCCACTTTCTCTACTTCTTCGAATTTCTCTTCATCTTCGAATTTCTCTTCTTCTTCGAATTTCTCTTCTTCTTGGATGATATTAGTCTCTTCATTATTTGTTTTTTCTTCAACGTCAGTTATCTTTTCACTAACATTTGCGTCGTCCACATGCATTTCATTGACATGATCATTTTCCTGCGTTACAATTTTACTAGACTCTTGTGGCTGTTGTTCTTCATTTTGATCTGTCTCCCTAATAAAGTTATATTAAGAATATAAAATATAGGTATTTTTTAACTAAACTGAAATTGATAGATATATAGGGTGGTCCGAACTGTATGCCGGAAACTTTGGCAGCATATTCTGCAGATAAAAATAAGTAAAAAAGTTCGTATAAATGTATGTTCTAAAATGCTTAGTTTCGGAGATACAGGGTGTAGAAGTTTCATTTTTATTTCGATTTTTTCCAAATAATTCATGAAGTAACGTAAATCTTTGGATGAAAATTGATGTCTGGGAATTTTTTGACATGATAAATTTGATTTTGATGTCAATATGACTCCTACTTGTAGAGGGCGCCACCTACATATTTTTTAACCGGTTTGAATAGTAATAACCTTTAGTCCGTACCTGTATAAAACTACTGAGTACAAAATATACATTTTCGACGATTTTTAAAAAAAAATCTCTTTGTAAAAACCGCTACGAGTAATGATTCTCGAGTTATTTGGAATAGAAATTATAGAATATATTTTATATATATATAAATAGAATAAAATATATTTTATATATATAAATAGAATAAAAATTTGTACGTAAAAAAGGACTCTTGAGGAAAATCGCTACGAGTAATAGTTCTCGAGATATTTGGAATCGAAATTATTAATACCTGTCATCATTGACATAAATTAAACTTGTTGACTAAATAGTTATTAGACTGAAGTCATAAATTTGAAATGTTTTTATGCCAAAAGTTCAACAGAAACTGTTTTATCAGTTCTTCGCTGAAAAATTTATGATTAATTAAAAAAATAAAAATTTCCCTAATTTATTATTTCAGTCAAATAACTATCTACTCAAAGTGTTTATTTTTTTTTCAGACCAGTTCCATTCTAAATATCTTGACAACGGTCACGATTTTTACCAAGAGACAGTTTTATGTTACGGAAATGTATATTTTTTCAGTCAGTACTTTTATACAGGTACGGACGAAAAGTTATTACTCTTCAAAACAGTTAAAACACATTAAGTGGCGTAAACAAATGTCAAAAAACTTCTAGACACTAATTTTCATCCAAATATTGATTTTACTACAGAAATTATTTGGAAAAAATCGAAATAAAAATGAAACTTCTACACCCTGTATCTCCGAAACTAACTATTTTCGGACATACATTTATACGAACTTTTTTACTTAATAAGCTGCCGAAGTTTCCGGAATACTGTTCCGGTCCCACCCTGTATATTAAAAAAAAATATAAATAAAATAAACTCACATTGCCTCCTGATTATCGATTGCTTGTGGCTCGTCCTCGTCCATCTTATTGCTATCGTTTGCGGTTTGGACCAACCCTTCATTGCTCTGATCGTGCTGATCGTGCTCTTCGACGTCATCTGTCAATTCCTCGATGGAAAAGGAAACGACGTTGTTCTCCTCCCGCACTGCTATGCCCAGTTTAACCGGGTCAGACGGGTCGTCGTCGGTCAGATCGATCTGATTCTCTATGATTTTCTCCGGAAGCACGTTGGACTCCAAATGGGGCGGTTCCAAGTTTTCCAAATTTTCCAAATTCGGTGCAAAGGCCACCTCGGTCATGTTGTCGATAATGGGTAGCGATTCATCTCGTTCCAATTCTGTAACGAAATACAGAGAAGGTAAGAAAAAATAAAAAATAAGATATAAGTTGAAGCAGTAATGGTCAATACAGGTGGAATTACTCGCTATTAATAGTTTTTTTCTTGGATATAATCTATACTAATATATAAAATCCTTCAGTAACTGACATACTGATTAATCACGATCCTGCTCAAACTACACAACGTAAGAAGCTCAATTTTAGCATACAGGTTGATTCTAGGGTGTAGAGGTTCGATAAGAAGGGATTTTTCGAAATTCCAGTTCCAAGAGGGTGAAACCACCCATCAAATATTACAATATTTTTTATTTAAAAAACGGTCAAGTTTCCGAAAAAACGCTTAAACACGTATATTTTATTTTGCTTTTTTTACATATTTTAAGATTTTTTAAAAATGTATACAGGTGTTTCGAAAAATCTGGTCATTGATTAATCACGATCCTGCTTAAAGCGCTTGACGTAAAAAGCTGATTTTTGGAAAACAGACTGACTTTAGGGTGTAGAGGTTCGATAAGAAGGGATTTTTAGAAACTCGAATTCTAAGGGGGTTAAACTATCCCTCAAATATTAAAATATTTTTTATTTAAAAAACTTAAACACGTATATTTTATTTTGTTGTTTTACATATTTTAAGATTTTTTATAAATTTATACAGGGTGTTTCATAAAATATGACCATTGAGTAATCACGATTCTGCTTAAACTGCTTGACGTTTAAAGCTGATTTTTGCCAAACGGATTGACAGTGGGGTGTAGAGGTTCGATAAGGAGGGTTTTCTCGAATCTCAAATTCCAAGAGGGTGAAAACGCCCCCCAAATATTACAATATTTGTTATTTAAAAAACGATTAGTCTTTCGGGAAAACGCTTGGACAAGCATAATTTATTTGTTTTTTTTACATATTCCGAAATTTTTTAAAAAATCATACAGGGTGTTCCAAAAAGTTGGGTAATTTCTTAACCACGATTCTGCTTAAACTGCTTGACGTAAAAAGCTTATTTTTGGCAAACGGATTTTTCGAAAGTCAAATTCCAACGAGATAAAACTACCCCTCAAATATTACCAAGTTATATAATAATATCGCCATATTGTTTTTTCTCATGCTGACATAAATGTGAGAAAATTTAATCCAGTTTGTATGTTAATGGAAATTCTTACTTTGCTTTATCATCACCATTACAAATGCTTAATTCGACGCGAAAGAAGTCGCTGGTACACGCTAGTATCAATATAAACTAATCGAAAAAAGTTAAGGTTTTTGCTAGGAAGAAAGAAGGAAGAAAACATGTGTTATATCTATTAATACCTATGTCGTTCTTGTTTAACAAAAATATTGTTTGTAGACATAAAAAATTGTACCCAAACAAATAAAAAGCATTATCATCAAAAATGTACATTTAATTTTTGTTTAGAATAGAACTTGTTTGCGTGTTGCTAAGCGACAGTTTGCGATATTGTGGTTATTTTGTCATCGATAATATGAACAGACGTCATTTAACAGTAGATGAAGCAAATCAAACCATTGGCTTGATTGATTAGTTGCTTCTTAGCGGTGCGCGACAGATCGATGTGGCTGATCGATTTAATGTCACCCAAAGTGTAATTTCTAGACTTAAAATAGTTATTAATGGTACAAGTTCGATACGAACATCATAATGAAACGCGTGTAACGTTAGCCGAGTGGCTTAGTTACACAAGTTTCATTAAAAAGTTCGTATCGAACGTGTATCATTCAAAATTTAATCTACGACGCGACACGAGGGACGATCCAACGAGATTTGATTTAATTTTAAATATCAGAGATATCCTCATAAAAATTAAAATTCAAAATTATCAGGTGCCTATATTAGTCGACGCCGTGGTAATCGTGCTTGTTGATTGTTTCCATTCTGACAACTCAATTATTGATGTTCAATTTTGTGTTCAACGTTCAGTTTTAGCAAAAACCAAAAAATAATATTAATATGGGCGATTCTGATTTTGAAAGTGTCCCTTCGGATATTGAAGGCATTGCGCAAAACGTTGTCGATTCTCTACCGAAAACCCGAAAAATCAAGACAAACGTACGAGCAAGCCTATGTAAAACTTGAAGATTGGTGTAAAAGGGAAAGGAATAAAGAAAAGTAGTAACGAAAAGTTGTCCTGGCATATTTTGAACATCTTTTAAAACATAGGAAGGCTTCATCACTTTGGGTATATTATTCCATGCTACGTTCAGTTATATCAATGAAGAAAAATACAGATATTAGTAAGTACGTCCATTTAATTGCATTTCTAAAAAGAAAATCGGAAGAATTTCGGTCAAAAAAATCGAGAATTTTAAGAAAAGAAGACATAACTCGTTTTTTTGTTGGAAGCCGATTATAAAACTTATTTCCTGACAAAAGTTTCATTAATAGTGGGACTTGCAGGAGCCTGCCGGCGTATCGAGACAAATCTGCCGCTGCAAAATGTTAAAGATGAAGGACAATGCATTCATGTCATTATTCCATTTACGAAAACAAAGATATCACGAGATTTTTTTATAACGAAAGGGAATGTTGAAGGAATAAATATGGTGGAAATGGTTCGAAGATATATAGCTATGCCGCCAAGCAACACAGAGCATACTCGATTTTTTGTGGGGTACAGAAATGGAAAATGTATTAAGCAACCCGTTGGCATTAATACTTTAGGGAAAATGCTGTATAAAATAGCATTGTTCCTAAGTCTTCCAAATCCACAACATTGGACATTGTTTCCTTAGATCGTCTGCGTCGTTGCTTGCAGATTCAGGAGTGGATTTATTAATTGTTAAAAGGTGGTTGGCGCTCTAACACAGTGGCAGAGAGCTATATAGAAAATTCCAAAGAAAATAAGAAAAAAGTGACATGTAATATTTTGGGTAACATTTCTGGCAATGATGGATCTTCAACAAGTTCAAGCATTCAGGAAATAAATTTACTTTCTAAAAATTTAACTCACCTGTCATGGTCTGGAATTAATTTAACCAATTGTACTGCTATTATAATTAATGTTTACAATAAATAAACGTATTTAGGTATCTTTTTTGCTTGTTTCCTATTTTAAAATTTGCGTGTTATTATGAAAGCCATAATGACATCCAAATGACAATGTTAAATGTGTCATAATGACATTGTCGTAGATTAACCGATTTAATGAGACTGGATCTGTCATGGAGAGGCATAGGGAAGGTAGACCAAGATCAGCAAATGCTAGGGAGGACCGAAGCTTACTGAGAGGAGCTAGGCTGGATCCTGCAAGAAACTGCACGTTGCTCAGCCAGATTTTTGCTGTCAGCAGAGTACGTATTACCTCTAGGACGGTCTTAAATTGATTAAAAGAAGTAGGTTTACATTGCTATAGACCTATAAGAGTCCGCAGATCGTAGGTCATAAAGCTCTGGTGTAATGAAAGAGCTAACTGCAACGATGAGTGGCATACTGTGATGTTCAGCTATGAAAGCCGCTTTTGTCTTCGTACTGACAGACGTACAGTTCGTATGTGGAGACCAAGAAATACAAGACTTAACGACCATAGACTAATGTCATGTACTAGAGATAGATTGGACACTGATATAAAACAAATGGGTCCGTCATTTAGAGCCACCTGGTGATCCGGAAGAAACTAATGGAGAGTTTTGGCATAACATAATTTTAGCGTTCCGTTACTTATTAACGCTAACTAAAACGGTAACGTTATTCAAGCTCAAAATTACTCCTTGTAAAATATAAAATAATAAATATAGACTTTTTTGTTGAATTTTATGTTTTATTAGATCATTAGAAGTGTAACATAATTAAAACAAAATTAAAATATATACATACATTTTAAACACCAACAATAGAGCACATAGCGCCTATTTTTTGATTTAACAAATAAATTATACAGCAAAAATATTATAGACTACTAATTAACTGTTACAAAAAATACTATATATTACCATGTACTTACTTATTTATGATTAAACTATTTTTTTTTATTTGGTTCATAAATTTATAATTTCTAAAATGTCAGAATGACTTTAATAAAAAAGTTTAGTATCTAACACGAAAATGATGATCGACTCTAAATATCAGAATGCATAAACTAATAAAAACACAAACTATAAACACAAATCACTGAAATCACCGAACTTTCCGATAAATCAGGAATATCTGAATTAATGATTATTTAAATAATGATCAAAATAATGATTTAAAAATAACTTGACGGATCACCAACATTTTGTCAACATGTCAACATGATGTCAACTAGACAAAAACTAGACCACAGACAATAGTCAACATAGGGACTGTCATGTCATCTTCATATATAAATTAGAAACCTGTACTTTAATGTCTTTTGCGCCGTCTGGCGATGCGGAAGAAACTAAATTTGGAGTTCTATAAAATTACCATTGAGTGTCTAGGGCATGTTAACGACCGATATGTTCAAGTGCATCCCTTTGGAGGTAGAGGTGTAATGGTCTGGGGTGGAGTTTTCTATCTTGGATCAGCATATATTTTCCAAATAAAAATATTTTAACGCAATAGTTCGTGAATTGGAATATAAAAAGTTATACATATATTTCTGGATTTTCATTGAGACTAATTGTAGAGTCCACTAGAGGGCGTAACAACAATACAATATTTAAATTATTTACCAATTTTGAGTTAATATTCTCTAATTGGGGTATGTTGATAAATAAATAATAGTATAAGTAAAAAATAGTATTTACATTGTCCTTATGGGCACTCTCCAATCTAAACTTTTGGAACGTTTGAAATTGTTTAAAAAATTATTTGTGCCGTTTGAAAAAAAATAGCATGTTCTATTCGGAGTAAAAATGACTTTTTGTGCCTCCGCTGTATGTCGGCCAAGTCAAACGTACAGCCTCGCCACAAAAATTGTCATTTTTACTCCTAATAAAACAATATACACCAAGTTACAAAAAAAACTTCTGAACAAAAATGAGATAGAACTGTCTTACCTAAGTTAATTAACCTAGCTTAAGTTA